TACAAGTGGCCTGATGAGGCAGCTTCACCAGATCCCTGTGTACCTTGAGAACAGACACTGGGATGATACTGTCATTCAAGGCTGGGGTCAGAGTGGGCTCGTACCTGTGACACTGATGTGCCAGGTTGGAGCCCTGATATAATCTGAAGTTAGAGCCATCAGAATTTCTTGACGTATAAGGATGTTACTAGATTTTACTACAATTTAAAAAATTCAAAAAGGATGTGTGGAAGGTTAAATAACACAGAGTCACTTTTGTGAAGGGTTCTGAAATGGAGCTGGGAGGCCATGAAGGAAGTGTGCTTGATGCAAGTCCTCACTGAGTGGAAGCAGGAACTTCTGGGCTGGGCCACACTGCAAATGCCCCGAGGACTCTGCAGGAGCTCCTGCGACTTGCTGCAGGAATGGAGCTTTGCTTGGTGAGGGCCTGAGCGTCTTCAGCCCTCATTCGTTTTCTGCCACCAACACCAATCAAGATTCTTTGTAAACAAATTATGCAAACATTCCCTTTTTATCTTAAATCCCCTGATTTTTGCTCCCTGGTGTGGCACTATTTGGACTGCCACCCAATTCTATGTACCCCAAATTGAAAATCTTTGATCCCAAATGAATCTTTTCCTCTTGAACTCGTTTCCTGCTTTGAGGTTGAGATTCCTGGTGGCAGAAGCAGGATCTGAAATGACCTCGTGATCCCGCACTGCCATCCCCTAGAATCGCTGAGATGCCCACGCAAGCCCTTTTGTGCTCCCTGCTGTCTCCCTGACTGTGAGCCCTCTCAGGCTTCAACTTCCCTCCTGTGGGTCGAGGTCCTCGCCTTCCTTGGGAGCTGGGGTGCACCTGCCCTCGTGCTGGGTGCGGCTCTTGATGCTCGAGGGGTTTCCTTGGTGAGTGAGGACTCTGTTTCTGCCTACACACTTTTCGTCATTATGGGAATTTCTTTTTCTAAGTCTTCTGAGGCTGCACCCTCGAAGCTCCAACTGGTTTCATGTTTGAGAAGTCCAGTCCTTTCTTGTAAATTTTTGTCCCAGTGGACTGACAATACCAAAGACAGTTCACAATTAGAGTGCCCATTTAGGGACACTTTCGGACTCTCAAAATATGTGTATTTTTTGTGCACTAGATCTGAGAACCACAGTTTTAAGACCAGAAATAGGACCTTTAATTTCTAGAGTCAAGCATGGCACTCTTTGACACCCCCGCTTAAAAACTATGGTCCCGGAAGCTGTAAACATTGACCAAATCCCCCAGCAAAATCTTACTAAGCTTGTTTCATGTCCTCAGAACTTGGCTTGATAACTATCAGCATTTCCACTATGCTTACTATCCCCAAGCCTCATGATTGCTGGAAAGAAATGGCACACTCAAAACTAAATCGGGGAAAGTTTCAGAAGCGTTTAATCTCTCATGGCCAAAAGCTCTTCCACTAGTGCTCCTCCATCTTAGATCTGTACCCTTTGGCAAACTTCTGTCTCCTTTTGAAGTAATAACAGCACAACCTACGCATGCAATTACGTGAGGGAATATATGAACTGACTTTGCCTAAAGGAGACATCTTACATTACTGTCAGGGTCTCATTGAGACACTTAAAAGGGATGAAAGGTTGGTAGCTGATTCTTTTCACGGTGAGCTCCAGGAGGTTAAGACCTTAAGGATCATTGACTTCAACCTGGAGATTTCTTTTATTGGAAAAGGCACCAGATAAAAGACTCTTTGCAGCTCCATTAAAAGGACCATACCAGGTACTTTTCACCAACCCATGTGCTGCAAAATTAAAAGGCACAGACTCGTGGATTCACATTTCTCATATGAAAAAGACTTCTCCTTAGTGCTGTCAGCATCTTGGCCAAGTGGGCTGTTCCTTTAGTCTCTCCCCAGCATACAACCAAAAGGACATTAAGCAACAGAAGATACCCACACAGCACAATAGGATGTTTGAGAGATGCACACAGCCATATGTCTGAAGGTGGGAGTACTGGACCCCCAGGAAGCAGTGGGAGGAGGTGAGTGGATGTCCTCCTCATCATTGGCTTGGATCTAGGTTGCAAGTCCACACATAATGGCCGGCACATGACTCCGTGAGGAGGCAGGGGAGCAGGTGGGCCTCCTTGTGAATGCTGTCACTTTCATGGTCACATCCCAGCCAACAGGGGTGCTCTACATTGAGGTGGCTCAGCCACTGCATGGGACCCCCCTCAAGCCCAGCAGCCCAAGTGGACCACCAGTGAGGGCACAGCAGCCTCGTGTGTGATAGAGGGTGCCCTTCCTATCCCTTCCTGCCTTGCACCCAGGTCTGGCTGGTCAGCCAGGGCAGTGTATCCACACCAGAGTGGATCAGGTAGGCAGACGCAGATGGGCCCTATCAGCACAGCTTCTTGCAGAGAGGCACAACTTCTAGCAGATTCAGAGTGTTCAGAAAACACAGCTCCTGCCCCTCTCAGTGGTGGCAGGTGGAATCTGTGACCAGATAACACCACTATGTGCCGGCAAAGGTCCACTTCATCAAACACCCTGAAGAAATACATTAACACTCCGGACCAGATGGAAAACGGAAAGTCTCCAGAGACCAATCTTGAAGTCAGAGAAGTTTTCAATGTAAATGATGAATTCCAAATAGTTATAGAGAAACTCAGTGAGTTACAAGAAAATTCAGCCAGTTCAATGAACTCAGGAAGGAAATTAAGGAGCCAAAGGAATTCTTCACAAAAGAGGTAGAAACACTAAAAAACACACCAAACAGAACTGCTGAAATGAAGAACACAATGAATGAGATAAAAACATTCTAGAGGGCCGGCCCGGTGGCGCAGCAGTTACGGTCACACGTTCTGCTTCAGCGGCCCTGGGTTCACCGTTTCGGATCCCAGGTGTGGACATGGCACCGCTTGGCAAGCCATGCTGTGGTAGGCATCCCACATATAAAGTAGAGGAAGATGGGCACGGATGTGAGCTCAGGGCCAGTCTTCCTCAGCAAAAAGAGGAGGATTGGCAGTAGTTAGCTCAGGGCAAATCTTCCTCAAAAAAAAAAAAAAAAAAAAGATTGACTAAGGATTATTTGCATCAACACCAGCAACGTGGGACTAAACAAATCTACACTTGATCAGCAATGCTTTCTGCAAAAATTCTCCATCAAGAGGGTTAAATTTTAAAGAAAACAAGGTCACTTCTGTCGAAGGGCTTTAAAATGGAGGCGGGAGCCATTAAGGAAGGAGAGTCGTGCACGTCCTCCTCAGGCAGGACATAAGCTTTCAAACTGAGTGAAGACAGAATTATTCTGAGAACTCCGCCAGAAAGCTGCGGCTCCTCCCGCTGAGGGCCTGCTGCCTCCCTGGAGCTGCCTGAGCCACCAATTAGGACCAGCCAAGACCCGCTTTCTGGGGCCAACTCCAGAGAACATTCTGTGATGCAGAGAGGTTCCTCTCTGGTCTTTACGAGGCCGCGCCGCCTTCTCCCCGCAGGACACAGTTTGTGTCGCTCCCTCAATCTGTGCGCCCCGAAGAGCAATTCTTTGATCCCAAATTCAATGCCTCTCTGCGTCTCCTCTGGACTATTTTTAAGCTAACAGGACTGACTAAAGCCATGATCTGATATAAATTTCCTTGCAGTAAAATGTGCATGTGAGGATTCTAACATCTCACACCGTGGCGGTGCTGAGACGAGTCCTGTGCGCAGGCTGCGGCCGTGGGGTCTCACTTCCCATGGGGCAAAGGACCCAAAGCCGCTAGTGCTGACCTCAAAGCCCAGAGGTGGGGGTGGGTGTGGAAGTGAGCAGAAGTGCGGCCATCTTGTTACACTAAATGGCCCAGCCCCTCCCCTGTGTGACTGCTCGCTGCTCTGCACGGACTCTGAAAACATCCACATGCTCTCCTGATTTATGGCCCCTTATGTGCGTTCTCCCCAATAGCGTGATAAATTAAAACTTTGGAACGGGCTGACCACACGCGGGAAACACACCTACAAGGATCCATTCCAGCTGACAGAAGAATGGAGCAATGTTGACGTGGATCAAGCCTGCCCCGGAGAGAAGGCCACGGCGATCCACATCACCCACCAGGAAGTGTAGGACATGCTGACCTGACTCGTGTCTAACGTCACACGATCACGCGATAACCAGGCCGCACCTGCACTGACACCATTTTAACGACCTTTCTACATGATCTTTCCTTGGTCTAGTAAAAAAATAACTCACATACCTGTGCCTTATAAATTTAACCCTACCCTGAACACATTGCAGCTCTTCACCGCCCATGGGTCCTGTCCCCATGCCCCATGCTATTCTCTGAATAAAAGAGCACTATTGCCAGACCTTGAGAGTCCAAGAAATCCTTCTTTTGACTCCTCGGCCTGCCAAGCCCACATCACTTCCTCTGGGGGTCTGTATGGCGATCTTGCTTCACCAGCTTGTGACCTCAAGTTCTGGTAAGTGCACATTTCTTCCTTGTGCCTTCCTCTTTCAAGGATGCATCTAAATTCACTTCTCCATTGGGAACCTTCTTGGACAGCTGTATGAATCCACGGTTGCTGCCCATGGCTACTCCATGGGGCAAACCATGGCATTCAGCTCAAAGAGAATCAGCACCTTAAGCCTGAGGGTGCTGAAGAATGAATTAACCCATTCCTTCTGAATCCTATCTCTAATATATAAATTTTACATGGGCGCGGGTCGACCACTCAAGTCATTAGGACAGTTGCCAATCTCCAAGACTCCCGTGCCAGGTTTCTTTTCCTAAGGCTGGATTGGTATCCCTCCCTGTGGGTCCTGCCCACACTCCGAACCACGGGAAAGCCCCAACTGGGACTCCGGTTCAAGGAAAGTACCCAACTCTAACCTTTGGTTGAGTATGGGAACCCCTTCTTGGGAGAAGGGCTCAGGATGCAATTGGGTAGAATGTCCCCCAGACTGGCGGAAAATGCTTCAGTGTTTTCTCTATTCTCTCATTTCTGGGACCATTCACCAGGCCCCTGTTATCGCCAGGCATAATAGGGAAGATATACAAGGGGTGCAATGCCGGGGGACGTCCCCATCGCACCTTGCTATAGGAACCCCACAGGCAGAACAACGGGTAGGACGTGGCCTAGGTTCAGGGGGGAATTCCAAGGTAACAGACCCTTTTCTCTCCTCTCTCTTCTTTTGTCTTTTTGCTTCCTAGGACCATGGGAGCTTCTAATTCTGTTAAGGAATCCACTGGGGTTGCCTTTGAAATATCTGGGCAAAATTTGATCTAAAAGAGCTAAAGAAAAAGACACATCTTTTACTGTAATATTGTCTCGCCTCAATATACTCTGAATGAGGAAAAATGGCCCATGAATGGCACCCTAAATTTTAATACTATTTTTCAACTAGACTTATTTCGGTGCCACCTGGGAAAATGGTCTGAAATCCCTTATATTCAAACATCCACAGCCCTAAATGAAGATCCTGGACTCAGAGCGGCTTGTCGCATGTGTCTGGCTCCCCGACTACAGTAGAAAAACCCACCCCTGGCAGATTAGATGATGGCTGCCTTGTCAGACCTCTTCCTAAGGCCCTTACAGCCCCTACCGAAATCTCGTGATTATTGTTTAATAGAGGGGGCGAGGAAGGGATTTACAAAGCCAGTGAATTTTCGCATACTCCAGGAAATAACTCAGGGAACAGAGGAAAACCCTGCCACTTTTCAAGGGAGATTAGCTGAAGCCGTTTGAACAGACACTAATGTAGACCCTTCTTCTCCGGAAAGGAGAGCTGGTGTAAACATCACTTCATTAGTCAGTCAGCCCCAGGCACATGCAGAAAACAGACTAAATGGGCCTTGGGTCCTCAAACACCTGCACAGAGACATTTTAAAATGGGCTCAACATTATGCTGAGCTCCGTAACCAAACCACGTGTTGGGTTTGTGGACCCTTGCCTCTGTCTAGGACCTCCGGCCTCCCCCGGTGGGTCACTCCCCTCTTGGGCACTGACTGGCGTGCAATGCTTCTCTTCACTACACAAGGTATTTCTAGCTCTTCTCTTCTACAAGATTCATCTGTTACTAATCATATTGTCTCCTTGTTGCCATCCGTCTCTGTCACCTGGGAACTCCCTGGTCACAATCAAACCTTTTCCTCTACTGCCCACATACTAACTAGACTCGCCTGGTCGCAGAGGGATCATAGACGAATTCCTAAGGTAAAGCCCCCACCCATCGATACACACAGGATGGACTATAGCAAATTTGGGACGAATATATTTGGCTCACTCCTACTAGTGGTCACCTCAGTCAAAAGGCCACTCTATGTTGGGAACAAACCAATCACACTTGTGATACTCCGTGTAATAGCACCCGACCTATGGGCCAATTCCCCCTTTATGTGTGTTCTCATATCATAGCCTTAAAAAATACTGATTGGTTTGGGACCGACTGGGACAGACGGCCCAGCACACGTTGGTTAGCCCCTAACGGCACTCAGGGGATATGTGGCTCCAACTTATGGCCTTGGGTGCCGCCTGGATGGACTGGACGATGCACCCTAGGCTTCATCTGGATGCAAGGAAGAACTCCATTTACTATATCACCCTGCTGGCCTACCCACCCTGCAACAGCGCTGGACCCGCTCTGGCTTCCACTGGGATGATCCCCTTGCCTCAATTTTCCTTCCCCAATTAGGAATCAAAAGTGTCATCTGGCACATGGAAGCCCTAAACAAGTTTACCACGAAGGCATTGAATGATACACAACATAGCCTTCTGTTGCTGGATTTAGAAGAATCCCAAATGCGTAAGGGGGTTCTGCAAAACCAGATGGCACTGGGGGGCACTTATGCCATTATAAAAACTAAATGTTGTCTCTGTATTCCTGAATACCATCAAAATATCTCTGGCCTCCTATCTGATACGAGGCCAAATTAAATCCAAATCCGACCCCACCCTCATTGGTTGGACTCCTGGTCAGGTCCAGGCCCCTGGACTACTATCAAAGCCTTATTCACTGGGTTGATCATACTGCTTGTATTTCTTATCATAATTTGTTTTCTATTTCATTGTTTGTCTTGCGCATGTCAACAAAATTTCGCCTCCTGAAGCACTTCTCATCAAATGATTCTCCCGTCTCCAGAGCATCTGCATACCTTGTCTGCCTTAGACTCCATGGGCACAACCTTCCGGTCCACTGAACTTCCTGCCTGTACCCCTGTGGCCCCATTTAGGGACAGCTCTGCGACCTCGTACAGCTGGAAGTAGTCACAGAAGATTGACCACCCTCTCTGTCCCCAAAGGATTTCAGGGCCTAATGGATTCAAGGGGATTTTGTGATGTGGATCAAGGCTCCCCAGGGAGAGAAGCCCAAGGCATCCTGGCCCACATGCCAATTGAAACGAGCCTCTGGGAAGTATAGGGCGTCCTGACCTCATTCATATCTAACGTTATACGACCACACGATAACCAGACCCCACCTGCACTGACACCATTTTAACAGCTTTTTAAACATGATCTTTCCTTTGTCTAGTAAAAAACAACGCACTTGCCTGTGCCTTATAAATTTACCCCTATCCTCAACCCATTGCAGCTCTTCCCTGCCCAGGGGCCTGTCCCCATGGTACTCTCTGGGTAAAAGAACATGACACCAGACCTTGAGAGTCCCAGAAATCTCCCTGACTCCTGGGCTCACTGAGCTCGCATCAAATGTGATGCCTGGAGCCTGTCCTCGCCTGGAGCCCACATCCCTGAGCCCCTCCTCACCGCCCCCTTTCCCTACACAGCTGCCTCGAGATTCCGTAATCCTTGAAGAGGAGTCTTTGAGACTTAGTGACCCGTCTTCCGAATAGCCCCCTAATCTAATCTAATCTAACTAAACTTCCTTTCTCCATCTAACTCATTGGGATTAATTGGCTCAGATCGCGGAGAGCAGAGCGAGCCCGTTGCTCAGTAGCAGGTAGGGGGCGGGTGTCCCAGCGTCAGCGGTCACACAGGCAATCCGAGCACGACCCAGGCTCGTATGTGGTGACATCACTGTTGCGTGTCTGTTTTTAAAGGGCACCGATCCACGGTGACTCCTCCCCCTGACAGGCGTCTGACCCCGGAGCTCACCAGGCCCCCTGTCCCAGCTCCAGATGGGGGCACTCCAGGTAAACTGAGTCAGGACTTCCCGGTCCAACATAAGGACGAGCTGCAGGATGACGCCAGGTCCGCCAGCCGGCAGCGGCTTCTGCTGGAAGCCCAGGACCCGAGCGGGCGGTTCCAGTCCGGGGAGGAAGCCGGGCAGGAAGCCGCCGAGGCAGAGAGCCCGCGCTTCCGCCCGGCCCTGCCACGTGACCCCCGCCAGCGCCTGTCAGGCACGCCCTGGATTGTAAAGCTGTCCAATCAGGGAGGACGGGGGCGGGACCATCGGGAGCGCTGCCGCGACCCCGGAGCCGCTCCATTAAGGGACAGGGGCGGGTCTTGGACATCTGTCCATTCAGGAACCGGTGCGTGCCACAACCCTGTCCAATCAGAGTGCGTGCCAGGATGAGTGACGAAAATACCATCCAATCACCACACAGGGTCCCGGAGCTGCGTCACAAGACACGGGGGCGGCGGAGCTCGTGTCTTCCTGGTTGTCGCTCTCCTCCAGTCGCATCAGCGCGCGCACCGGCCCCGCGTGGCCTCAGGTGTCCAGTCCCGTCGCTGTCACCTGCCGGGGCCGCGGGGCCGCGCGGAGGACGCCCGGAGGGTCCGGAGCGGGCGGAGATGGTGAGTTCGCGGGTCGGGCGGTGACCGGGAGGGGCTGGTGCAAACCGGCCGGAACTGGCTGGAAGTGGCCGACGGCCCAGGTCTCCGTGCGCGGCCCGGGGTTCCCCCGAGTCCCCAAGCTCGGCAGGACGGTGGGTCCCGGCGTCCTCTTGCGGCCCCGCGTGGGGGCCCTGGTCCCACCTGAGTCCCCACTGTGGGCGCAAACAATCCGTAAGGGATCCATAGATCAAAGCTGGGGTGAGTTTGTCACCCAGATCTGAGGACCGGCCTGGGGCCCTGCGTCCCCACGAAGGACGGACACCAAAGAAGTGAGTGTGCACAGTGGTCATATACGTCAGAGAGCAGGTGTCACAGATGATCGGAATGTCCCTTTTACAACGGTCACCAGGTCGCCCAGCCGGCAGAGCGATCGCACAGCAGGGAGCAGGTCTGTGGTCTCCAGCTGGGGGGTCGCAGGGCGGGCGCAGCAAGCAGTTCCTGGCCTGGGGAGAGACGCTTATCCGAGGGGGAGGTTACATCTTTCTTCATCTTCAAGGGCATTGTTCTCGTCTCTGGACGGAGAAGATGGTGAGGGCAGAAATACAGGGCGTGCCCCGTGGGCACGGCAGGCGCTTTGGGAAACAAGGTGAGGCCAAATTAGTTTTACAAGTGGCTTCCTCGTGTCTGCCAGTATAGCCTACCGCTCCCCACTTATTTATCACCGCCGTCGTGATGCCGGGTCAGTGAGCCGAGAAGACGAAAGAAAGATTTCTTAGACTCTTAAGATCTGGCAGTAGTGCTCTTTTATTTAGAGAATAGAATAGCATGGGGACAGGGCCCACGGGCAGGAGCAGCCACTGCTGCTGCCCCGAGTTGAGGGTTAGGGCTAATTTTATAAGGCCTGGGTATGTGAGTTATCTCTTTACAAGACAAAGGAAAGAACATGAAAAAAAGTTAAAATGGTATCAGTGCAGTTGGGGTCTGGTCATTGGGTGATCCCATGACTTTTAGACAAGAATCAAATCGGATTAAGTAAAGGTTAGAAAGGTTAGAAGCCACCACCCTGAATCAGTTACATGAGATTGCCACACAGCAACCAACTTAAGTTCTTGCCTTCCCCATTAAGAGTTTCTAGGGACAAGGTCATCTCTCTTCTTCTTCCTGGTACAGAGAGGGAGGCACCTTTTACAGATAGAGATTTACCTTACAAATGTAAAGGTGTCCTAACAAAGGGCAAGTTCCATTCCTCAGAGACTCCCTCCCTGTCCCAGTTTATCGAAAGCAATCAGCCCAAAACAATCCTGATGCCAAAGAGACATATCCTGGGGTGACCAATTTCAGGGCCCTACAAGGTCATCCCCCCTTCCTTCACAAATACAAATGTCTCTCAAAAGGGCAAGCAAATTCCAGTCCTCAGAGCCTGCTTCTCATCTGCAGTTTTTAAAATTAACCAGCCTAAAATCCTCATCAGTCGGTCGTGGGGTGGGCCCTTGTCGGGGGCGCTGGGTCCCAACCCAGTCCTTGGCTGGGCAGGCGTCAGAGGGGGATGGGTGGACCCCAGCTGGGCAGTCAGAGCTGAGGACCGTGGGGTCTCGTCCGGACTGGGGGCCGGAGACGCTGATCCGGAGATGGTGGGATGGGGCCGAGGGAGGGTCTCAGGTCCTCCAGCCCAGAACGCACCAGAAAAGGCACCAGAAAAGGCGGGGCAGGAGGGGAGCAGGCAGACGGGTCTCAGGACCCCCCGCCCAGTGGTCGCGCAGCGCGGGCTCGGGTCCAGGCCCGTCCGCATCTCAGTGCTCGTTCCGACGGGCGGGTGTCGGGCCTGCGGGGCGCGCGGAGGCCGAGAGCGTCTGGGAAGGAGGGGGCGATGGTGCGCAGGGGTCAGGCGGTGGAGACGAAGCATCCGAGCTCAGTGAGCACACTTTCCTGCCGGAGAGGGACAGCAGGGGCGGGAGGAGGGACGCGCCCGGGGCAGGGGCTCCGCGGGAGGGGGCGCTGTGGCCGGAGGACCCGCAGGAGCTGGGCGGCGTTTGTCTGGAGCGGAGAGGAGTGGACGGAGCGGGAGGCCGGGTGTGGGGCTGATGGCAGGTCCCCGAGCGCAGCCCGTCCTCGGAGGGGCCGTCTGCGGGCCCGGGCTGCGGGCGGCCCAGGGCGGGGGTCTGCGGAGGAGAGGCTGAAGCCGTGTGGCCGACACGCGTTGGTTCTGCTCGTCGGTGGGGACGAGCGGTTCACGAACGGTGCAGGAGCACTTAGACTTTTGTTCGGTTATTTGAAGTTGTAAGGTTTTTATTTTCTTGGTTGGGTGGTGGAATCTTCCAGAGTGCTGCCTCAAGGGTGACCAGAGTCTTGCTTCTTTTTGTTATTCTTTTCAGATTTATGTCTGTTTTCCATCACCAAACAATGTTCTGTGTGATTCCGCCTCTGCTAAATTTGTAGTGGGTGACTATTACCAGGAATACAGCATCCATGTCACACAGAAGGCTTCTGTGTGCTTCCTCAGCCGCAGTCTGTGTCACAAGTCCTGGTGTGTGAGGCTTGGGTGACGTGGTTAACTCATCCACTCCACTCCTTGCAGGGCCTGGCTTGTTTCACGTTTATGTTTCCCCTTTGTTGGCAGTGCTGCTAGAGTCCTTGTTTTTATCTTCAAGTGCAAATGGGTGATCAATGTTTTTCGTGTTGGAGAAAAATTTCAGGGTTCTAGATTATGGATAAGTTCAAATTGACTCGGAAATGCTGATGCAGGAGGGTCTGGATCCAATGTCTTTTGTCACAGATGAGTGTTTATTTCATATCGTTTCCTGCACTTGGAATTAACCAACTTTGGTTCATCTTGAGTGTGAGAAATGGGATCTCCTTTTGATGCCATATTTTTTTGCACTGATTCCCATTGGGGTTGAGCATTTGTCGTGTGGCATTTTGAATTCAGTGGACAGTTAGCCATTAATGATGACGTAGCTAGTGACCAGTTTGTTTGCTTTTTGGTTTTTAGCAGTAATTAGTTGTAGCTTTTAGTTGTTCCCCTGCCCATTGTTAGCTCTGCTGCTTAGGCAGTTTATCATTGGACTCCTGTAGGTACCTCACAGATGACATCGCTCTGAAACTTGGGTCACCATGGTAACAGAAGCTAGAGTTATTTTGCAGGAACTGAGGGTCGACCCCTGTCTGGCTAAGGCCGGTGGAGACCAGCAACCGACCAGTTGGGGCTGCACAGGTGTCTAATACATGAACTCCTGAAATCAGGGAGCCAACAACTACACCCTCAGGCCATGTTAAGGCCACCATTTGGTGACCATGCGTCCTATGCAGAGCCATGAGGCTTCACTAGGTTTGCGCAGATCGTCAATTACCTGCTTTCTCCTTACCTCCCATCGCCTGTCTCCACACTTCAGACCACCCTCCCCCCTCCCAAATATCCTTAGTCCCCATTTTCGGGGAGGCAGACTTGAGATTTGTTCTCCCTTCTTGCTTGTCCGCCTTGTGAGTAAACCTTTTCCCTGCCGCAGACACGTCTTGGTGATTTGCCTTTCATGCAACAGGCAAGACGAACCTGGTTCATTAACACTTTCATCGTCTCTCTGATAGTTTTCGGTTATTTTCTCATCTTTAATTCATTTGTGTGTTTACTGCTTTCTCATGTTTTCTTTACATGGTCTGGACCGTCATCCTTTTTCATGTCTAGTATTGCAGATATTTTCTCCCAGATCATGGTTTATTGTTTCTGTCTCGTCTACACTTTGATGGGCACGTCCTAGTTTAATAGACTTGAATTTCCCGCTCTCTTCCTTTGTAGCTGACTCTTTTCTCTTGAATAGGAAAACTCTCCCAGCTCTCAAGTCATAAACACGTTTGCCTGTGGCTTCTCCAAGTGTTCTGCTGTCGTGTCTCACAGTTAGATCTGCAGTGAGCTGGTCATTGTCTGTGAGGTTGATAAGGACATCAGTCCCTTATTCTTCTGTAGATGCCAGTTGTCCCCACATCACGTGTCACAGAGCCTCCATCCCACTCTTGCCTGGCAGCGCCTGCTCTGGGGCAGGTCCACGTGCCCACCTTGGGGGCCTGTTTCAGGGGGTCTGTTTTCTCCATTGGTGTCCCTGTCCGACCCTCTGGTGATGCCATCCTGTCCTAATCACTACAGTTTAACAAGTTTTAATGTCTGTCAGGGAAAATCCCGCCACCTTGTTCTACAGAAAATATCAGATTTTCTTAGGAATTTGTTTTACATTCCCGTTTTTAGAAGTAGCTTTTCTTTTCTTTTTTTTTAGATTGTATTTTTTTCTTTTTTCTCCCCAAAGCCCCCCAGTACATAGTTGTATATTCTTCGTTGTGGGTCCTTCTAGTTGTGGCATGTGGGACGCTGCCTCAACGTGGTTTGATGAGCAGTGCCATGTCCGCGCCCAGGATTCGAACTAATGAAACACTGGGCCGCCTGCAGCGGAGCACACGAACTTAACCACCCGGCCACGGGGCCAGCCCCTAGAAGTCGCTTTTCTTAAGTTCAAACAAAACAGAAACAAACCCAAGATAAACGTGGTTGACCATTTAATAGAGTTTTCTTAAAACTCCTGAGCAGTTGAGAGAGCTGCCATCATGGCCTCCTTTCTGAGGAAGTGTGAGATCTCTGCATTTGTTGCGCTCCACTCTTGTGTCATCCAGTAACACTTTGACATATTCCCAGTAAGTCGTTTTTTATCCCACATTATATATATTTTAAATAAAATTAGTTGTAACAGCAATTAGTTTTAAAAATCTTTGTTAACAGAGTGTATCTTAAAAATTTACTGTTTACCTGCTTGTTTCTAGTGATGCAAAATACATGTGATTTATTTTTATGACTTTGAATTCTGGAAACAAACATCTGATTCTCTGATTATCTTCATATTCCTTTCGGGTGTGACGTGCACAGTCATTGTGCTATGAATAAAGGGAAAATTTTTCTTTTGTTACAAGATTCTTTCCTCGGAAAAGGACACCATTAGTTTCCTCGATTAATGATTTTTAAAAAGTAGCCTGTACTGCATTTCAGCACTGGAGAGGTTTCTCTGTCTGTCATTACAGAGAGCTCATGGTGAGGAACAGATTTGCTTACTGCTGGGTCCCTCCCTCAGGAGCTTCCCAGATAGAAACTGAAATTGGTCCCCTTACGTGCAGGGCAGGCAAAGACCTAAGAAAGGGCCAGGACACTCCAGATGTTAGGTGGCAGTTTTAATGAGCCAGGAAACGTAAGAGGCCTGTCTTATGCAGCCCAAAGATGAGTAGTTTCTGCTCCCACCCACCAAATCTGAAAAGTTTCTCTAGGGGCCTTAACCAGGTTCGATCATGTCCACAGTTCAAATGGTCTCAACACTGACTCACTCTCTCAAGGCTGTGACCTTGGGGCAGCTGCTGGGAGTTGGGAAGGCAAGTGGAACATTGTTCCAAGCACAGCGACAGGGTGGGCAGCCTCCAGAGGCCCGGATTTATGTCCGGGCTCAACCCCCCATGATGTCTTCGTGATGACCTCTGCAACAGATGCTTGGAAACACTCTGAAAAGAAAGAAGACTTTCCATGTGGTTTTATGTTAAACCATTTACAAGACCTTAGTTATCAAACTCAAAAGCACAGAATAGAAGATTAAGGGAATTTCTTTTCTTTTTTTGTATAAACTATTTTAATATGAGTTTTTTAAGCTCATGGTCTCCCACAATATTAAAATGACAAATGCAGGCATCTTTTACTCTCATCGTGGTGCATGCAGCAGAGAGACGTGTTTCCAGTAGGAACTAGCACTTCTCCTCAAATTCATTGGGCAGGTTTGTTTTCATATTCTCCTTTTCCACGTGCCACTGAGCGAGCTTATGACCACACATCTTGTCCCCATCAAGAGACACGTGTAAACAGGTAGACATTTACTAAAGAGGAGTAGTTCACCTTTGAAAGAGAAAAGCTAACTACAAAGCAGAGCTTGTGTAAAGTTCCAGTACTGGGATTTAAATTTCGCTGAGGCATTTTCTGCTTCAGGAATAAAGGCAAAGACGAGATGAAGCCTTGATTTAGGATGAGAGTTCATTATTATGGGTCATCTGTTGGAATAATCATTCACTATTTTGCTCCATTGGGCTGAGAGTTTGAAAAGGGCTTCATACACCTTTAAAATTTATCACATACACTAGAATAAGGTGTTAAAGTTAACACTGATTATTACTCATATTAGTCCATTTTGAAAGCTCACCAGCCTTCATGAAGTATACTCACACACAACATGTTCACCTGTTATGAGGCAGGTTTGTGAAAATAATTTCATACACCAGATCTCTCCATGAACTGTCAGCTTACAGCATTTCTTACCTGAGAGACACACCAAGAATTGTGTTTCATAGAAAGCCCCCTCCCTACTAGGAAACAGTCATGAAGGATTTTGAATCACTTTACTCTTTAAAGGACGTTCTTTCCTCGTCTCCAGTCCAGGAGCCATTCATCCCCTTTAGAGCCAGTTGTGTTGAAAGGCTTGTGAGATAATAGAAAACGAAAACGTGTATTGTTGTCGGCCCCCAGCTCCTGACACCCTTGGAATTTCCTGGGTGATAGAAGCGTCCTTTGTTCTCATGAGGTGACTCTGGCTGGGCTCTTGGAGGAGGATTTGTCACTGGAAAGATGAAGCCATGACTAGAAGCTTGGGATTTTTAGTCCTGCCCCCACTGTCTCGAGAGGGGAGAACGTCTGAAACTGAGTTTAATGATCGATCATGTCTACGTGACGAAGCCTCCATAAAAATCCCAATAGTGTGGGGTTTGCAGAGCTCCCGGGTTGGTGAAGAGATGGAGGTGCAGGGAGAGTGGCGGCTGTTATATTCGAATTCTGTGTTCATCATTTTTGGGACCCGCCAGACTGTCTTCCAAAGTGGCTGCACCATTTACATGCCCGTGAGCGATGGATGAGCTTCCCCCTTGCTCACGTCCCGCCAGCACTTGCTCCATTTCTGCAGTGAATGAACAGGGCTCTGCTTGTACCCTTGATTTGCATTTCCCTGCTGGCTGAGGGCCAGCCTCTGCTCATGTCTTCTTGGCCATTTGTATTTCTTCTTTGGAGACGGGTCTGCTCACATTTCTTGCCCATGACTTAATTATAATGTTCTTTATATTGTTGTCTCTTATTGTTGTGATCTCAGTTTTTTAAACGTAGTGAGAACACGAGCCTCCTACAGGTGTGTGGTTGGCAAACCCCAGGTGCTGCACTAGGTGAGGTGGCCTGACCTTCTCTGTAGCTGATGCAGCTGGGAGTTTTTTCTTTAGGTTTTGTAGTGCTCTTTATGCCATGTGTCTGGTGTCATCACAGAGCATTCTAAACTCATTTAGGTATTTTTTCTCTTGGTTAAAGTCCCATTTGCCTCTATTGCTTTCACGTCCTTCAATGACTGTTGTTTGTGTGACCATTTTCCTTGAATTCTGGGGACTTGATTAGTTATTTCAGAGGTTTTCCAGCTTCCCAGAGTCCTCAGGAAACAGGCTCTCCTCTTATCCAGCTGGTGTCCCAGGGCATGGCTTACACCTCTGCCCACAGTGTCCACCTCATCCTGGGAGGGGTCGTGTCTCTGCCTCTGTTGCCATTTAGGGAGGAGTCCAGGGCCCTTGACACTGTTGCCTCCAAGGAGAGAGTGTTCAGCTCAAGCCGCATTGCCGGTCCCAGGGTTCAGAACATCCTGACGTTCTGGTTCCAGTTCTTGGAGCTGACAAGGACATAACTTTTGATCAAGTCAAGTACCCATTTCCATGTGATCCAAAAGATGATTTCATCTTTCAGTTTTTACCTTATATCAGAGTCTGCTCTGTCTCAGAAAAAAATAATTCTTAGATTCATGCATGTATGAGTCTGTATCAGTTGTTGTGGTTGCACTTTGCAGCTTTACAAGCACTTACCATCGCTGAGTGTACTGTGTGCCACTTGCTTGTTTATTGTCATTTCCCATGAACATGTGAGTTTAGGAGTCCTAGGAACTGAGTCCAGGTGCCCAGCTGTCACCCTCCCACACCCCTTGGTGCAGATGGGGCCTGGCTGAAGTAGAACGTGTGGGCTGTTTCAGGACTCGCTGGTCTTTGAGGACGTGGCTGTGAACTTCACCCCGGAGGAGTGGGCTCTGCTGGATGGTGCTCAGAGGAAGCTCTACAGAGACGTGATGCTGGAGACCTGCAGGAACCTGGCCTCCGTGGGTGAGGACGGCTTCACGCCTTCACTGAGTCTGTGAGGGAACAAGTGTTTCTCACACTTGTCCTTTCTTATTGGGGCCAAGAAAGGGGAATATGTTCGAAAAAAGAGAGACATTGTCCAAGCCTTCATGGAACCACCTAGAGTCAAATAGCTTTTCCACAAAACAACATTTTATGTATTAAATAGACTTTTTGTTACTGTTGATCAAAACTGTGAGATGTCCTAATTTTATAATCATGAATATTGTCTCTAGTGTCACTTTTGGCAGCTTTATGGTTTCCACCCCTGTGCCAGTTACACTGTGTTATACACAGGTGACATGGTGATTTTGCTGCCATTAAGCTGGCACTTATCTATCCTCACTGGCCTTGAAGACCAAAGTATGGGCTCAGCTCATGGACTGTTTGTTCCCCCTCTGTCCTCCTTCATGGTGAGCTCTTCCCTGTGAACTGTCACCAGCTGCCCTCACCATCCGTCTGCCATGGCAGCTGGGGCAGTGGACACAGGCTCCATCTGGGGCCTCGGTGTCTGCACCCACTAGGAAGAAACCTTATGTCTGTAAGTGATGTGGGAAAACCTTGGGTTGCCCCAGTAACTTTAGAAGACACACAAAAGCACACTGTGAATGTCCCGAGTGTGGGAAGCTTCCGTTTTCCCTCATTCCTCCAAGAACAGGAGAGAATGCACACTGCAGAGAGACTGCTCTCATGGAGAGCAAGCACCCTCGGGAGGAGGGACTGACATTTGGACACATCCCTTAGAAATGGGACTCAGCCACTGTGTGAGAAGGGTCACGTGTCACTTCCCTGGCTTCCCTGCTGACTTTTTGTCCCTCCTGGCCGCCTGGGGAAGACCTGCATCTCTTATAAAAGGAGCATCTGGGGATGTGCGTTTGCGCAGTTCCTTCCTACTTTGCTTTTATGATGATTGTTATCTCAATGTTACTCTGCATCCATTTGGAAGTATTTCTTAGTGAACAGACTGCCATTTTGAGTCATTTCCCTTACTCTTGCCAAAGTGCCAGATAGCTGAGGGTCTGAGAGTTTTTCTTTACTCGCATGTCCATTCTTCCTCATAATATTTGTTTACATTTTTGGGTCAGTGTATGAAAAGAAATCCACATATCGTTTATTTTCTTTCCTTTATTCTACCATTTCTTTCCCAAGAAATTAATTTGTGGTACCAATTGTTGTAGATTGTTGCACTCAAGTTAGAACCAGTGGATTGAGACTTCAGCCACATATATTGGAAAATAAAACAGCCAACGAAGAGAAAATAGTAAGGTTCATAAGATGTGAGTGCCGGTCTGCTTCTGGACAAAACTGGACATTCCACAACGTTGGAGATCAGCACCCAGCCCAGGAGAGGCCTGTGAGGTGAGTGGCATTCCCACAGGAGGAAGGGGTCTCAGCAGAGGGTTAGACTCACTTAAATTAAAGAAAACGTAGAACCCTTGCTAAACAATTGTGTCCTGGGAGAACTTTCAGAAGATATTTTCATAAATGAGATGTATATACCGAGTGTCTAAAATATAATTCAATTGTAAACAATTATCCTGAAACACTGTATGTAATAAAGACTGAAAGTTATGACTATATTTGAGGCCTCAGATAGAGCATTAAGCTTTTCCACTTTGTAACAATGTTGACAGTGCCAAAAACATTCATTTTCATTGAAAATGAGAAATTCATAGTCAAAAGAATCATTAACTGTCAATAAGTCATTAATAAAAGACTCACTTATAATCATTATGCCCTAACGGTGTGCTTCGTATTTTGAACAGGAGCCATTTGCTGGAGAGTCTCCATGGAAGTAATGAAGGTGATGGCTGTGGAGAAACCCTGAACCAAATTACAGACCTTCCTGTGTGTGAGAGGTATCCAGCTGGAGTTAAACCCCGTGAATGCACGAAGTGTGGAAAAGCCCTCACGGATTGTTCTCTCCTTAAGAATCGGCAACGATCTCACACTGGGCATAAACCTCATCCATGTGAGGAATGTGGGCGGGCCTGCAGTTGTGTCTTGTGCCTCAGCACTCCTGTGGAAACAGACATTGTAGAGAAGCCCTGTAAAGGACGTCAGGATACTGGGAGAGCATCTGAGAGACACGTGAAGAGTCTCCATGGTAAAAAGCCTTTCGAGTGTAAGAAATGTGGACAAGTTTGCACTTGCGCCTCATCCTTACGGGAACATGAGCAAGGTCACCGTGGAGAGAAGCTCCGTGCATGTACAGTCTGTGGGAAATCCTTTAAGTATGACTCCTACCTATTACGACATGTGAGAACACATGCTGGAGAGAAACCCTGTGAATTTCCAAATACTCAGAGAGCATCTATGAGAAACATGAAGAGTCTCCGTAGTAAAAAGTCTTTTGAGTGTAAGAAATGTGGAAATGCTTTCACTTGTCCGTCATCCTTGCAGGAACATGCGAGAGGTCACTGTGGACAGAAACCCCATGTGTGTGACATATGCGGGAAGTCACTTCTGTATGACTCCTACCTTTCACGGCATATGAGAACACATACTAGAGATAGACAACACGAATGTAAGGAATGTGGGAAGGCTTTCAGCCGTTCCTCCTCCCTGCGAGTACATATGAGGACACACACTGGGGAGAGACCCTATGAGTGTCAGCACTGTGGGAAAGCTTTTGGCCGTTCCTTCTCCCTGCAAGCACATGTGAGAACGCACACCGGTGAGAGACCCTATGAGTGTCAGTGCTGTGGGAAAGCCTTCAGCTTCCCCTCCTCCCTTCAAGTACATGTGAGAACCCACACTGGGGAGAGACCCTATGAATGTCAGCAGTGTGGGAAAGCCTACAGTCTTCTCTGCTCCTTGCGAGTACATGTGAGAACGCACACTGGGGAGAGACCATATGAGTGTCAGCACTGTGGGAAGGCCTTCAGCTGCCTCTCCTACGTTCGAGCACATGTGAGGATACACAGTGGGGAGAGAGCCTTTGAATGTCAGCGGTGTGGGAAAGCCTTCAGACATCCTGCAAACCTTCGAGTGCATAGGAGGACACACAATTGAGAGAGACCCTATGAAAATGAAGAATGTGGGAAAGTTTACACGTATCCCAGTAAACTGGGGAGCACACATGAGGGCACACACTGGCAAGACACCGTATGAATGTCAGCACTGTCAAAAGCCTTCAAATATGTCACGTCTCTGCAAGTACATGTGAGAACACACACTGGACAGAAACTCTGAACACAAAGACTGAAGGAAAGCCTTCATTCTCCCTTGAAACCTGTTGTAAATGCAAGCAAACACACTGGAGAGAAACCCTAAAAATTGGAAGAATGCGGAAAAACATTTAGATGTAGCACTTCACTTATTTTCTTCATCAAATCTCAGGAGAAGGACGTCAGCATCATGGTGGAGTGAACTTTCCTGGGAATCTCTCCCCTCCAACATAGAAGAAAAAGGGGCATCGATACTGCAACAGAGGACATCCTAACCACATAGAAAATGTCAGAGAGACACGGACACGTACGATGGAGGGTGGAGAAGCTTGAGCCCCCTTTGGAGGAGCTGTAATGGCGTAAGAGAAATCTTCACTCCCTCCCCTAAAGACTGTGACCTGCAACCATGGGAGGTTCTCTGAGGGAAGGAACGGGAGGAGATGTGAATTCACAGGGTCACCAAGGGCTGCCTAGGCTCCTTGCAGCCTAGAGGGAAGCCCTCTAATGGGGTGAAAGCTTGCAGAGGAGGTGACCTCATTAAGCCAACACCCCAGGAGACCAGATAGTGAGAGCGAGAAATCCGGAGAGCATGGAGGAGAAAGCGTGCCTCGCCCCACCTGCACCGCCATTCCCCTGCCTGGGATCTAGGCTAAAGGCGGAGGGCTCGGAATATGCTGCTCTCGACCCCCACCCAGTGGCAATATGTAGTAACTGCAACCAAATAATCAGGGAATGTGTCAGACCTGACCTACCTCCTCTAACAACATCAGACACTACATCAAATCTAAAGACATGGGGCCAGCCCCATGGCCAAGTGGTTAAGTTTGTGCGCTCTGCTTTGGCAGCCCAGAGTTCCACTGGTTCAGATCCTGGGCATGGACATGGCATCTCCTTTCAGGCCATGCTGAGGCAGCGTTATACATGCCACAACTGGAAGGACCCACAACTAAAATATATAAGGATGTACTGGGAGGACTTGGGGAGAAAAAAAAATTGGCAACAGTTGTTGGCTCAGGTGCCAATCTTAAGAAAAAGAAAACAAAACTACAGCCCAGAGAGAAAATGACAAGTGTCCAGAATTCAGTCCTGAGGCCACAGAAATATGTAATCTAAATGACAAACAATTCAAAATAGCTATCATGAAAAAACTCAACGAGATAAAAGGGAATGTAGGGAAACAATTCAACGAGTCCAGGAGATACTTCACAAAAGAGATTGAAACTATGAAGAAGAATCAGTCAGGAATGTTAGAGATGAAAGACACAATGTAAGAGATAAAATACAAAGTCCCTGAACGCTCGAGTGGACATCATAGAGGAGTGAGTCAGCATAATCGAGGACAGACATGTTGAAATGCTCCAAACACAGGTGGAGAAAGAACTAAGACTAAAAGGAATGAAGAAAGTCTCTGAGAAATATCCAAGTCAGTGAGGAAACACAAGATAAGAATTATAGGCATTCCGGAAGGGGAAGAGAAGGATAATGGAGGAGAAAGCATGTTCAAGTAAATCATGGCAGAGAACTTCCCAAATCTAGGGAAAGAAGGAAATCTGTGGAAGAGTCTTCCAGACCTCTGAGATTTGTCAATACAAAAAGACCTACTGCAAGGTATATAGTAGTAAAGCTGGCAAGAATGAATGACAGTACCCAAGGGCAGCAAGGCAGAAGAAAACCTACAAAGGGACCCCATCAGGCTTTCAGTGGATTTCTTTGCAGAAACCTTATAGGCTAGGAGACAATGGAATGACATATTCAAATCTTTAAAGGACAAAAATCTTCCATCAGGAATACTGTATCCAACAAAAATACCCTTCAGATATCAGGGAGACATAAAAACTTTCCCAGAAAAACAAAAGGTAAGGCACTTCATAGCCACGAGACCCACCCAACAAGAAAGCCTCAGGAAAGCCCTCATACGTGAAAAAAGAAAACAACGGAGAAAGGGCTCGGAAAACACAGAGTAAGGAGATAGATAGGTAGACAAAATCAGAATAGGATAGCAAATACTCAAGTATTGCATTGAGGTAAAAGGAAGGAAAACACCAAAAACAAAGATAGGTCTGTGACTTTAACCACAAACTCACAACACAAGATGGAATGAGAGATGAGAAGAACTTAAGAGGGAAGGAGGAAAGGGACTGAATTTTTTAGACTAAGGAAATTAGAGCCCATCAGAAAATGGACTATCTTATACATGACATTTGGACTACAAACCTCATGGTAACCACTAAACAAAAAAGCAGAGCAGAGAGAGACAAAGAATAAAGAAGGAGAAAGCAAAGAAACACATCGTAAAAAACTACATAATTCAACGGGTTGACCAAAACACAGAGGATGAGAAACAGGAAGTGCAGGAAAACTGGAAAACAAGTGATAAAATGAAAGCATTAAGCCCTCATACATCAATAATCACCCTAAATGTAAATAGATTGAATTCTCCAATAAAAAGATAGAGTGGCAAGATGGATTAAAGAACAAGACCCAACAGTATGCTGCCTCCAGGAAACACATCTCGGCTCCAGTGACTCCAGACCAGGCCTGTGTTCCCACCCTTGTATCTCCTTATTTAAACCCTTGTAATCCTTAAACCTTATATCCATTTTATAATTACTACAATAGTCAATTTCTAGATTGACTTACCTCTTACCTACCCCAATAGTTTATTTTCTTCTCCTCCAACTCTATAAGATAGATCACAACCTAATTACAAAAATTTTAAATTAACACAAGAATTACCATTTCAAGTTTTCTTGATACTATATATGTTTTCCCAGTTCACATCTGAATGGGTCTCGGATGGCAATGTCTTTTTCCAATGGGGTCATTCCTTTGTTTCACACAAAAGTCAGTCCAATTGTTGGACATGTGGCCAACTTCCCCTTTCTAGTACATCTGGGTTACCTTGGTGGGTTTCTCTCTTTCACGGTAAAGCTTTTCAATTGAAAATAATTTGCTATAATGGAAAGTTCTAGTTGGTGTTCACAGTTCAGCTGATCATACTAATTATGATCCTGAAACATGGCCAATAGCCCATACTATTAATGATACAGGCAACAGCTGCTCTTTTTCTGTTTTTGTGTTTCTCAGACCATCCAGTTATCCCAGCAATTTGCAATTAAACAAAAGAAGCCAGATATTCCAGTGAGAACTAAGGGAGGTTTTATACAAATTTGGGATGGATATGTCTGGCTTGCTCCTAGCTGTGGATCTTTAAGCATAACACCATCTTTATGTTGAGAACAAAGAAATCATTGCAAACAAAATCTACTGAATTGCAGTCTATATATAGGCTGGATATCCCCTGGCTTGTGTCAGAATACTCTCATCTTTAAAGAAAGTGATTGGTTTGGGAAAGACTGGTCTCAAAGGCCAGGCATTTATTGGGTGGCTCCTCAGGGAACTGAGTGGTTGTGTGGAACAAATCTCTGGCCGTGGCTACTGCCTGGATGGCTCAGACGCTGCACCCTGGGCTTCCTGTGGATGCAGGGAAGAATTTGACCTGAACTAACAACCATCGCCAGTCTTCCTCTCCTTAAGGCCAGAGGGACTCCTTCAGTCTTCTACTGGTAGGACCAACCACCTAGCGGCTTTATCTGTTCCTTCTTTGGGGCTACATGTCATACCACATATAGAAGCCCTGACTAAATTTACTCATCAAGTCAAGCAGGAATAGACTTATTAAATACTCAAGTGTCTTTAAATGAGAAAGTCTGTCCTTCAAAATAGAATGGCCTTAGATTGTCCAACAGCATCCCAAAGTGGTACGTGTGCAATCATTCAAACTGAATGCTATGTTTTTATACCTGGGGAGTCTTCCAACGTGTCCTCTCTGCTAAAGCACATGAAAAAGCAAGTCGGTACCCTAGGCGACTACACCTTGCCTCAATTCGTTGACTTGGCTCCCTTCAGGTATTGGTTCTGTTTTGTGATCCAGACTGCAATTCCTATTTCTATTTACTCCTTGGAATTCTTATATTAATCATAAGGTTCAAACTAATCACTGTTTTCTTAACTCAGTGTTGTATGACTGGCATGCAGGCTAGGGTAATGATTGCTCAATGAATCCAGATGGTCGACTGATATTACAACCCTCGATGAATTTCTTTCCTGATAAACACTATGCCTAAAAACGTATTTCTCTTATCACTTGAACTATTAAACTATCATGATTGTTTCTCTACTGTATAGTTATCAACAGTGTAATCATAAGTCATGTAAATGCGCATGTGCAGTGTGTGTGCGACAATCTAAAACTTACTGAAAAATTACATAACTATGACGTGCTTCCCGTTAACAGGTATCTCCATACTTTCCACTATATCCAACTATTTTCCCCCAACATGGATAACTGGGCATCAATGAAATAACAGCCTAGCACCAAGGGTCATGGTGGACCCAGGGAAGGCAGCCATCACCCTTTGGCCAAGGGACAATGTTTTCGTCGTCATTGCTTTCTGTCACAAAATTATCATCAAAGGGGGAAAACGAGGAAAAGTGAAAAACAAAAAAACAGTAATATCTTGAAGTCTATCTATGAGGAAGCCATTTGGTTTAAAACTAATCTGGCCTGACCTGGCCTGTCCAGCATGTGCTGGACATCTGCTTTAAACACTGACAATAACCCAAAGCAAAGAATGCTGCCTTTAAAGATAGGGATATATGCCTCCCCCCAGATCAGCATCTCTTTGAAGATAAGCATTTCTTCTCTGAACCTAAGGGTCAAACTGACCTGCTGTGTACATCGAGTCACCACTGACCTGCTGTGCCAGCAAAACAGCTTGTGCACAGGAGTCACGAGATATTCCTGTCACATTTCATTCATGTTCCCCGTTCCAAAATAGTGCATAACCACACTGGACACCTTGCTGCTTCCAAGTGCTCCATTCCCAGATGAAGGCCGTCCTCCCAGGCTGCAGTCCTCAATACTGGCTCATAGCAGAAAAATCATCCCCACTTTGATTTATGGAATGGTCACTGATTATTTGCATCACCAGAGCTGACCTTAGAAATTACTATTCCCACTAAGCAGAAAAAAGAAAAAATTCATTATTTTGTGTTTACTGAAAGTTGAGGCCCCAGTGAAAGCAGACCAATTAGTGCTGGGCTGGGATACAGCTGTCAGGGGCAGGGCGGGTCCCCCCAAACACTGCCGACCTGCTCTGGATCCAGTGGTCATCTCTTCCCTCCTCTGACGCACACTGGCCAACGACTCAGGTTAAAACCCCTGGCAACTCTTTGCAGGCCAGGCCAGGAGTCCAGGGTCCACTCCACAGCCAAGGGTGGGGACTAGGGTGTGACCCTGGGGGGTGCAGGGAGACCAGGGCCCATGGCCGCTTCCAGCCAGTTCTGACCGGCTTGCAACCAGCCCCTCTCAGTCTCGGCCCAGCCCATGCATTCACCATCTCTGCCCACTCTGGACTCTCCCAGCATCCTCCCTGTGGTTCCATGGCCCTGGCAGGTGAGAGCAACAGGGATGGGACACCTGGGGCCGCATGGGGCAGGTGCACATGGGGTCACGGCTGGACGACAGCAACATCCAATCGGAGGGAGTGCGCCTGCCCCTGGCTCTGACTGGCTAGTGCTTCAAGGCCTCCCACTCTGGATGGTGCTCCTGGCACTCCCCCTTCTGGTGATGTTGACTGGTCTTGCCACAGCTGTTCCGTGCATGCCTTATTGGTCCTTGGGCGATGCTGCTGATGCCTCAGACCAAACTTCTCCAAGAACTCAACCCCCTTCATCTTGAGTGGCAGGCTGTCCAGACACCCAGCAGACCCACTCACCTGGGACATGGGCTCTTAGCAGAACCGGTCCAGGTGGGTAGATACGGGGTCAGCCTGCACCTCGATGGCCCCTGCTGCATCCTCTTTCTGGACTGGGAAGGTCAGACTCATTTCCACAGTGGGCCATAGTGATCTGTGCCCTATGTTTACTAACAAAGACATCAAGTGAAGTCACCACGCGCAAGGCATGACCTGGCTCTGTTTTCACATGTGACCTTTGACATAGGGGGGCCCTGCCATCCCTCCCCACCTCTGGGACTTGGGGTCAGCAACCTCTGGCCCCAGAACGTTTGTACCTGAGGGAGTGGGACTCCAGCCCCAGCCTGTGTGTAGGGCTTGTCTCAGCATAGCTATGTGCTATGCTGGGAGATGTTAGAATTTGCAGATGTGCATTTTCTTGAAAGAAATTTCTGTCACATCAGATTTTGAGTCACTCAGAATTTTGAAATGTAAATGGCTATATTACCATATTCATATTATATAGTGATGGTGACACAGCTTTGTGAGTGTACAAGAGCCAGTGTGTTTTACACTCCAGGGGTGAATGTTATGGCATATGAATTATATCTCCATTTCTAAAAACAAATTTAAAGGCCATAATAGCCATGATAACCCTTCCTCCTGGCCACCACTAAAATACTCTCTGCCTCTATGGATTTGCCTGTTCTGGGTGTTTTACATAAATGGAATCATACCCTCGCTGGCCCCTTGTGCCTGGCCCCTTTCACTCAGCATGTTGTCAAGGTTCATCCATGTGGCAGCGCTTGAATTCTCTGGGGTGAAGTTCACAGCCACGTCCTCAAAGACCAGCGAGTCCTGAAACAGCCCATAGGTTCTACTTCAGCCAGGCCCCGTCTTCACCAAGGCGTGTGGGAGGAGGACAGTCGGGGACCTGGACTCAACTCCTAGGACTACTGACCCCATACTTTTGTGGGAAATGACAACTCCCAAACAGGTCAAGAATTTTAACAAAATTCCATTAAATCTACAACCATGTTTGTTTTGACTTTGTTTCTGTTTTGTTTGAACTTCAGAAAACTACTTCTAAAAACTGAAATGAAAGGGAAATTTCTAAGAATATCTGACATTTCCTATAGAAGGAGGTGGGAATTTTCCTAACAGACATCAAAGCTTTTTAAACTCCAGGGGTTAGGGCAGAGGGACGGACAAGGACACCAATGGAGACAACGGATGCCCTTAAACAGGCCCCCCAATGTCGGCCAGTGGACCTGCCCCAGAGCAGGCACTGCCGGGCAGTGGAGAGATGGGGACACGGTGACACATGGGGCAGTGACGACTGGTGATCTACAGGGGAATAAGGTATTGTTTTCCCTTATCAACCTCAAGGACAATAACCTGCTCACTGTAGATTTATCTGTGGGAGACGAGAGGAGGACAATGAGAAGTTACAGGAGACGCCTGTATGACGTAAAGAAGACAGTGAGAAATGCAAGTCTATTAAACTAAGAAGAGACCATCAAAGTGTAGAATACAGAGAGAGAAATAATAAAGTATGACTTAGGAGAAAATATTTGCACCACCTAGAAATGAAAAAGGATGACTGTCCAGACCATGTAAAGAAAACATGAGGGGCCGGCCTGGTGGCGCAGCGGTTAAGTTCACACGCTCTGCTTCTCAGCGGCCTGGGGTTCACTGGTTCGGACCCTGGGTGCCGATGTGGCACTGCTTGGCACGCCATGCTGTGGCAGACGTCCCACATATAAAGTAGAGGAAGATGGGCATGGATGTGAGCTCAGGGCCAATCTTCCTCAGCAAAAAGAGAAGGACTGGCAGTAGTTAGTTCAGGGCTAATCTTCCTCAAAGAAAAAAAAAAAAAGAAAACATGAGAAGTCAGTAAACACACAAATGAACGAGCCATAAGAAAACAACTGAAAACTATCTGACAGAAGATAAAACTGTTAATGAACCAGGTTCATTTTGCCCATTGCATGAAAAGCCAATCTCCGAGAGTAGTTTGCAGCAGAGAAAGGGTTTAGTCACAAGGCGGCCAAGCAAAGAGAAGGGAGCAGAAATCTCAAACCTGCCTCGCTGAAAATGGGGACCAGGGATCTTTGTGGAGGGGGCAGGGTGGTCTGAAGTGTGAAGATAGGCGAGTGGAGGTGAGGAGAAATGAGGTAAGTGATGATCTGTACAAGAGTACTCAAGTTTCATGGCTCTGCACGGACACACTGTCCCCAGCGGCGTCTCTGCTTCAGTCTCAGAACAACACGAGTCAGCAGAACACCACAGAGACCTGACCCCTGACACCTCACTCAGGGGAAGAAAGGAGGGAAAACGGATCCTGTCCCTTCACCGCTGCTGGACCTGAGGCAGGAACAGGAGACACTGTGAGTGCTGGAGGTCACAGAGGGGGAGCCCACGGGGTCAGGTGGCAACGCTGAATCCTCCCGGAGTCCTGGGCTGCCAGAAAACAGGAATCAAAGGTGAAAGGAGTCCTTAGTACAACCTTTTGTGTTCTAAAAACGCGCACGCCTCAAGAAATAGTCCCTTCTTCAAAGGAGTTAGATAAGGATCCCACGCATACACCCCTTTGTACCTGTAAGACACAGACCCCCAAATCCCCATTCTGTGTCTCAGCAATGATTAGCTGGACTGCTGGTCCCCGCTGAGAAGGAAAACAAACGTGTGTCGGCCACGCGGCTTCAGCCTCTCCTCCGCAGACCCCGCCCTGGGCCGCCCGCAGCCCGGGCCCGCAGACGGCCCCTCCGAGGACGGGCTGCGCTCGGGGACCTGCCATCAGCCCCACACCCGGCCTCCCGCTCCGTCCACTCCAGACAAACGCCGCCCAGCTCCTGCGGGTCCTCCGGCCACAGCGCCCCCTCCCGCGGAGCCCCTGCCCCGGGCGCGTCCCTCCTCCCGCCCCTGCGGTCCCTCTCCGGCAGGAAAGTGTGCTCACTGAGCTCGGATGCTTCGTCTCCACCGCCTGACCCCTGCGCACCATCGCCCCCTCCTTCCCAGACGCTCTCGGCCTCCGCGCGCCCCGCAGGCCCGACCCCCGCCCGTCGGAACGAGCGCTGAGATGCGGACGGGCCTGGACCCGAGCCCGCGCTGCGCGACCACGGGGCGGGGGTCCTGAGACCCGCCCGCCTGCTCCCCTCCTGCCCGGCAGAGAAAAGCCCTTTGCTGGGGGGTTCGGGGCTGGAGGACCTGAGACCCGCCCTCGGCCCCATCCCACCGTCCTCGGATCAGAGTCTCCGGCCCCCAGTCCGGACGGGGCTCAGTGTCAGGTCAGGGCGGGCCCACCCCGCGGCCGCCCCGCCCCACCGCCCCAGCCCTGACTGCCGGCCGGGGTCGTCCCGCCCCTCAGACCCCGCCCGTACAAGGACTGGGGTGGGAGAGGGACCCCCACGCGGAGCTGGGACACCAGGACACAGCCCGCGGGCGAGGATGGGGACTCGGGGGGACCCCGGGAGACGCGAGCCCACGACCGCTTCCAGCTGGTTCCCGCCGGGTCGAACCAGCCGCTCCGGGTCCCGGCCCGGCCCGCGCACTCACCATCTCCGCCCGCTCCGGACTCTCCGCGCGTCCTCCCCGCGGCCCCGGCAGGTGACAGCGACGGGACGGGACACCTGGGGCCGCGCGAGGCAGGTGCGCGCGGGGACACCAAGGGCTGAGACGGACTCCCACGCGGTTGCGAGCGCGCCCCTCCCCGGCTTTGATTGGACGGTGCTCCAGCGTCCTTCCACATGATTGGACCGTATTTCACGCGCTCATTCTGGCCTGCAGTCTGATTGGACACTGCCCTATGATGTCACCGTGCCCTCATTGGACAGTTCCCCAAGACCCTCCTCTGTGCCTTCATTGAGCGATCCCGGTCCCGCCCCAGCACCGCTGCCTCGCTCCCTGCGTCGTCGTCCCTGATTGGACAGCGTTCCCGTCGCTGGCGTGTGATGGGCGGGGCGGAGGTCACGTGGCTGAAGGAGGCGGTGATCTGCCTCCTCAGGGACGCGGACCGCCCGCCCGAGTGGCGCTGTCGGAGCACAGGCTCCTGGCGGGGACCTCCTGCCTCTGCCCGAGGCTCCCCAGCCCCTCCTCGCCTTCCTCCGGAACGGGCAGTCCTGACTCAGTTTCCCTGGAGCGCCCCTCCTCAGGACTCGGACCGGTGGGACAGGGGGCGCGGTCACCTGGGTGCTCGGCCCAGGGCGGGACTCCCGGTGGGTGTGTGACCTGGTTTAAGAACAAAGACCCCTGACAGTGACGTCCCCGCGGGCGAGGCTGGGTGGGCTGGGTGTGGCGGTGACCTCTGACGCGGCCCCCTTTGGGGCTGCGGGTCCGCAGCCCGCGGTCCGGGTCCTCCGCCCCGTGAGGAGGGGGCCCGCGCGCAGGACTGTCGCGGCCGCCCCGGTGGGACCGAGCTGCGGGGCTCGCTGTCCGGGCTCGTGGTCGCCGCTCCGCCCGGCGCCGCGGGAGAAGGCGGGGCTGTCGCTGCGCAGCGGGCGAGGGAGCGGCGCGGGCGCCGTGGTCCCAGCTCCCGACGGCGACAGGCGCGACGAGCGCGGGGCCACCCGGGGCTGCAGGAGGGGGAGGGGCCTGCGGCCGTGGGGCTGAGGGGTCAGCGCCGTCTGCGCAGGCGCGCCTGCCCGCGTGTTTCCTCGTGGCCGCGCGTGTGAACTGGGGGGCTGTCGTGTGTCGCGGGCGGTGGGGTTCAGTCCGTGACCCTAAAGGCGGCCGTCGGTCCGGTTGGTGCTCCGCGGGGTGGCGGGGGCGCCGTCAGCGGGCTGCTCGCGTCCGCGTCCCTGCGGCTCTGCCAACGAGCCCGGACACGATGCTCGCGGTGCCCGCGCCTCCCGCCGTGGGCGCCGCCCGGCCCACCCTCATCCGGGGAAGGCTCGCTCCTCCCCCGCGGGTCCAGCGCGAGGCGTTAGGACGCTCAGGGCCGCGTTCACTGTGGGGAGTCGATGGCGGGTCAGGTTCTCGGTCCTGTTACACGGGGTCCAAGTGAGACGCGGAGAGGCCGTGACTCTGGGGTCAGAGAACTGCCTTTCGGGCGCACAGATTGAGGGAGCCACACAAACCGTGTCCTGCGGGGAGGAGGAGGCGGGGGCTCGTAAAGACCAGAGAGGAGGGGCCAGCCCTGATTAGGTGGCCCAGTGATTAAGCTCACGTGCTCCCATTCTGGGGTCCAGGGTTCCCAGGTTCAGATCCTGGGTGCCAACCTCGCACCTCTCATCAAACCATCTTGTGGCGGCATCCCACATGAAACAGAGGAAGATTGTCCCAGATGTTAGCTCAGGGCCAATCTTCCTCATCAAAATAATAAAGGCAGAAGATGAAAGTTTGCATTACAAAGAAGGTTAATTGGAGTCGCTGGCAGAAAGCTGATCTTGGCTAATCTGAATTGATGGCTCAGGCAGCTCAAAGGAGGCAGTAGGCCCTCCCTGGGAGGAGCTGCCGCTTTCTTGACGAGTTCTCAAAACATTTACCTCGACTCAGTTCAAAAGTTTATGTTCTGCCTGAAGAGGACGTGCATGAGACTCGTTCCTTAACAGCTTCACGCTCCATTTTAAAGCCCTTCCACAGAAGTGACCCTGTTTTCCTTCCTATTTCACATTTGACCCATTCGATGGAGACTTCCTTTTGAAAGCACTGCTGGTCCAGCATAGGTTTTAGTCCAGTGTTGCTGGGCTAGACCTATCCCAGCAAGTCATGACCCGCATGAGGGAGAAACTTTTTCCCCTTTTTTCTGATGGTTATCCCAAGGAATCACTTTGTAACCAGGGGACTCGTTCAAAGCGGCCCTATCATATGGACAACAGAATGTCAAAGTTATCATGCGAGGGCAGCGAGCCAACACTGCAAGTCCTGGAGCGGAGGCACGAGCAGACGGGGAAGATTTTGACCTAGAAACACTCAAGTCCCTCCCCTTCCAAAAGAACCAAGGACCAGGACATGACCGGAACTTCCAAGTTGGAACCTTTTCAAAGTTGATGGGTCCACTGTCCACGAAGATCACTGTGAAGGCCCCTTTCCAGAACTTACCATGAATGCTCTTGCTTAAAGGCCTTCCAATCAGAATTTGTCCTCCGGCCAGCCTGCCCTCCCTAATCCCTTACGTTTTACCCCAAGCCCCAGATTTGAGCCCTGCCTCCTTTCTCCTTGCCAGTTGATGACACAATCAAGCTGCTGCTTTTCTCAAAAGCTGGTGCCGCAGTATTGGCTTCTGTGCGCAGTAGGCAGGGAGCCCTTGCTCAGTCACAATTTGAGCAACAAGGAGACGCTCAGGAAATGACTCTTCGTTTCCTCACCTGGGAATTTCACCCAGTTACTAGAAAGTTAAGTAAATAACCCTGATCTATCATTTCAATATGTTGAGTGACTCTCATCTTGGTGTTTGTAGAAAGTCTGCAGCAGATCTGAGTGAGTGGTAGCATGGGAAGTTTACATACAAGTACATAGAGCGAAGTTCCAATAATCATCATAAAGGAAGTTAAGTGATATTCCAGACCACCAGCTAACTGAATGACACTTTCTTAGGAAAAATGCTGAATAATCATGCAACTCAATAGATTTCCCAATGTGATAGAATAGGTCTGTTAGGAAGAGGATCAGCTATAAGGTCAGAGCAGGGTGTACACATATACTGCCGAGTCCTGAATCTTGGGAAGGCTGTCAGCATCAGAGGTCGGCTGCTTCTCCTCCGCGTCCATGTGACTTGGAGGCCTCAGCATGTGCACAGGACCAGATGCCAGGTGGGGACTTCTTCACTGTGAGATCGTCTCCAAGGCTCAGCGCCTTCTAGCTCTAGGCAGAGTCAGTGGTCAGGAGAGCTTCATGAGGGCCTTTCCAATGGGGCTCGAGGGCCGTCTTCCTTTGAGGAACCTTCCAGATGACCAGTCCCCAGGCTCTAGACTGTGACCAACAGGATCCTTTCAACTGGAATCTGGGAGAGCTTCTTTAACCTGTTGGTGACAGGCTGGAGTATAAGACATTGGAGACCTACAGTAGCTGTCATATGAGACAATGGGGCATCAGCAGAAGGTCATGTACCAACAGGCATTGTTCTGCGGGTGACCAGCTCCTGTGGGTGACTTTGTGTTTTCCAAACGGAGCACTGCGAACAGCTGGGAACACCAAGGGCAATACCTTAGGCCAGAGTCCAGTCTACAGGAATAGAGCAAAACCTCAATGACCAGTAACAGGACTAGACTCAAATGTCTAAAAAGGTGCAAACATAATTCTTCTCTTTATAATTACTCCCACTTTTTGTTTTACCAAAAATACTCACAATAAAACTAACTTCTTTGTATTAAAGGTTTGGCCTGATTAAAGTATTTACATAAGGGAGAGTTTCTGAATTTTGGAGAGATCATGTAGAGAGAAAACATAAACGGTTTATCTTTATTCACAAATGTAACTTCCCAAAGAGCAAAGATTTCTTTTCTTTTCTTTTTGAGGAAGATTAGCCCTGAGCTAACTACTGCCAGTAATCCTCTTTTGCTGAGGAAGCCTGGCCCTGAGCTAACATCCGTGCCCATCTTCCTCTACTTTCTATGTGGGACGCCTACGACAGCATGGCGTGCCAAGCAGTACCATGTCCGCACCCGGGATTTGAACGGGCAAACCCTGCGCTGCCAAGACGCACAACGTGTGAACTTAACCACTACACCACCGGGCAGGCCCCGAGAAAAGATTTCTTTAATTCTGTGGGGAAAAAAAATCATTACACATCCCCTCAGTTTACGCCATCCCATGGAATTAATACTTGTCCTGCTTGAATCAGTTTTCCCGTTAGTTTTCTCAACTTTCCCTGATGATTGAGGAGGATAAGGATGGTGATAATTGCAAGATGGGTTAAAGGTTTTCATTAAGGCTCGTATGGTTTGCCCAGGGAAGTGGGTGCTCCATCACCAGAAACTGGAAGATATACCCTACGTGGGAAAGACATTTTCAGACAGTTTTTTTGCCACTGTGAGGGCATTGGCCTGGTGGCAGGGGAAGGCTCTACCCCATCTGGAGAACATACATCCAGGAACAAGAACATGTTGGCAACCCATATTAAGTGTTGGTTGTACGAAATCCAGCTGCAGATGCTCCAAGCGTTCAGTGAGTGGAGGTCTGAGGCCTCCAGGGGCCGAAAGAGTTTCTTTAAATGTACTATCGTGGGGGATGGAATGCAAACATTGAAAAATGGTGGTTTCCCAGGTCGCTGGGAAGAACCAAGTGGCCATCTTCAGCTTTGCAGAGCCCCACCTGTTCATTTAATTTACAGCCATTTACTTCCCATCTTCATTTCTCTGATTCAGGAGCAGACTGCTGCCATGTTACAAGCACATCACGATGGCAAGTCTGGCCACGAGGGGCTGTTCTTTGCAGAGGCAGAAAGGACTTCATCCACATGTGCCACTATCTTTATGGATTGTGCTGTTGCTGCCTTTGCGTGAAAGTCAGCCAGGGCTTTCTCCTGCTGCTCAGGCTCAGTCCTTTTAGTGTGAGCCTCAACTTTGAGGAGTTTCATTTTATGAGTTTCCTTTCTATGAAGCATTTTTGCAAAAGCATCAGAGTAACTACCAATGACAAAGGACTTAAAAATGGCTCATTATAATGCAGTTAACAGAAATCTTGTTATTTCTCTGACAGCATTTTAAGATAACAACCAGAGTTATGGCAGACAGTGTTACATCAGGACTTATCAGATTTTTAGCAATTTCACATAATTTATGGAATATTTATATATCTATGCAAATGCAACAAAAGGCTTACTATTACTTGACAATGTATCCTATGAAATGTAACATGTCAAATAAGCCTGAGTCTAGTAAATCTTTTGTAATGTTTCAAGTCAAAAATGTGTCATTTTGCATCTCATTTTGGGAAGATTATCAAAAAATAGTTTTGGAAGTGTTTAAGCCACTTGTTAAAATAGAGTCATAAGTGTTACACTTTTTGTTGACATGATTCTAACGTTCTCTTCCTTTTGTCTTGACCCATCTCTGTCACAGACTTGCCTCATCTGATGACAACTGGTGAAATTCTTTCTGCTTAATGTAAGGAAGCCACAGTCCTGCAGGGAGTGTCAGGCCAGCTTCCAGGTGTCTGAGGCTGCCTTTGCCATTCTCATTGACTACATAATAAACACTGACATCCATATTTCTATGTATGGGGCACTGTTTTAAGTGTTTTTCATAAAGTGACTGAGTTAGCATATATAAATCTACTTCTTCCTCAGAAACTCCAGACGATAGATACTTTATTATCTATACATCTATATGAGTTAACTCAGGAGATAACTATGAATGTAGGTGATTTGCCAGAAGTCACCAAGCTGGGAAGGAAATGCAGGATCGTGAAGAGACCCTAGCCTCTCTTTCTGAGTGTGTACTCATTGTCTGGTGCTAAATATTGAGTATCCCTCATATGTCATGCACTCTAGGCTCAAAACAGAGTTACTTTCCACACTAATGTAAGCTGTGCAGGCACGTGCCCACAGATCCTCAAGCTCTCTGCTCCCAACCTGCTCAGACACACCCCTACCCTGGCAGTCCAGGACTGTCACCCTCCTTAGGCTGCAGTGATGGTCTCTCTAGGGTTTGTGTGTAGTGTTTTCCTAAGTCTTCCTGTGCCTCCTCTGTGGCTGCACATGACTAGGCATCGCCTGGTGAGTTGATAACACTAGAGAGGAAAGTCCATTCTAACACTGGTTGGAATCCCTTAGGTACACGTATCCTCTCTCGAAAGGCTGTACCTTTCTGTACATTTATTGACCATTTCCTCTCTCAAGTCCCTGGAGGACTACTCACCTTACACATCCTCTGACCCATAAAGCCCTACCAGGTCCATCAAAATACAAGACATCCACCATGCCCAGGGCCAGAGAAGGGTCCCTGGAGGCCATCTGACACAGAGGGAGAAACTGACCTCTGTCAACAGGAGCAGACCAGAACTCTAAGTGGTCAGAATGAAGAGAGAAAGCATGGTCCATTTGTCATCCAGTGGAAATTACACAAGGGAACATCGCTGGGCAGGAGCATCAGCAATCAATTACCCATCTGTCATGTAGGCAAATGGCCCGTGGATATTCAGCACAATTACCAGCAACAAGATGACCGAGAAGATGTCTCTATTCTGGTATTGCTTTCACGTTAAGCCACTGAGAGCTCTGTGGAGAACATTTAGAAGCAGCATTTCCCGGAATTAGTAGACTTTACTCAAGTTGGTTATGTCTGTAAACAAGCTCCCTCTCTTAACTCATTCCCACCACAACTAAGTGCTCACCTCACCAAGAATGCTGGTGGTTCTACTTGTCCACAGGGAACTAGGAAAGATGTGTGTCCATTTCTGCCTCCCACACTGCTCATCTGCAGGAGCCTGACTCCTGGGGATCTCTGGCTGGAGACCACTGAAGTGAGCAATATTTGCGTTTTCACTACTAGGAATGAAGAACTCATTTTAATGAAAAAAGTTGATAGCTACGTAGGAAGGTCAGAAAAACACACCACAATGAAAAATGTCAGGAAGCATACATATTTAGTACTACTATCCCAGAATACATACAGAAAAGTCGACATAATTACAAAAATAAAAATGTATAGTTGGATATTTTAACCTATTCTCTCAGTTAATGAAACATAAAACAGAATAGCACTTGTAAGTATACAACAGTTTTCAAAATAAAGGTAATGTGCTCTCATGAGGAAACAATGTAGATTATCATCTTCTACAGAAAATGCAATTTTCATTGAACAGAAAAAACATGAAAGACTTAAACACGGGGTAATCACACATAAACTGTAAAGTAAACAGTGCATTTATCATTTACAGAGCAGGCAGATGTAAGAGAAAACTCTCACAAACAGCCAAATATGTTCACAAATTCTGCTTTCAATCATGAAACTATTCAGAAAGAAGAAATGCAGCATGAGTGCAGGCTCTCAACTATGCAACCAAGGAAGTAAGTTTCCTCCACTTGCGGCTGCAAAATTAAATTTGTCAGTGTGGAGGCAGGAAACAGGGCCACTATTAGACAACAAGATGCTCCCCACAGAATTCACGTAATTAGAAGCCTTGAAGTGTGTCAAAAATGAGAAGATAACTAAGTGTGACAACCTAAAGAAGTGACCTGATGGACACCAAAGAGCTACATGAAAATGCAAGTAACTGTGTGAATCTGCAAACCAAAGAGGGTCCACAATGGGGGAGCTTCTGGGAAAGTCTGTAGGATCTGGTGCCTGAGAGGGGACTGATGTCAAACATGGTGTTTGGTTGGGGCTGTTCCAGATGGGCAGAGCCACAAGTCAGAAAAGAGGGCTGTGATGCAGGCCCCTAGGTTCCCAGGCACCTTTGTCTCCTGACGGGACAGGAGAACTGAGAATCATGGCTTCTTCACTTCTTCTTTCCAAACCTCATGTGTCCTCCTCTGCTCGTGAACTTTAACTCAGAGCCACAAACAGAAGGACTCTGGGACACACGGTTTCCCACCCTCCCCAAGGTGACAGCACAATTCAATAGAAGCATCTGGACACCAGGCTTCATGAAAATTTCCAACCAAGATCAAGGAGAATGAGCAGACTCCAATTTTGAACATAATCCCATGAGACTGTCCTCTCAAGATCTTTCCATAATTACTAATTTCTGTGAGGAACCGATGACGTATCTACTAGCAACAATCAAAAGTGGAAGATACATCTTTCAATAATAAAGAATTCAGGGGAGAGTAGATATCAAGTCAGAAAACTCCCTGCAACAGTGGACCAGAAAAGAAATTTCAACAATACAGGTCTCATACCATCATCATCACAGACCAGGAGCATAATGGAAAGAAAGAAAACAAAGTTCATCCAAAATAATACCAAGTTGCACATGGAAAAACACCCCTAAAAACAAAAACCACTGTCATCCCTGGACCCAAAAGACACTGTGACACAAAATAGACAAGTGTCATATAACAGTACAATTATTTAAAGTCCAAGATAACAAAATATGTATAACACAGATGGTGGGGTCATAGACAGATATTCTAATATTGACTTCATATCAGCAATGTGAACTAGAAACCAATACACTGGGGGTCCCAAGTAAGGATGAGACACAAAGACAAAATCACATTTCTAACGTTTAAAGGATTTTTGTCTCCCCTGAGTTCCCATGTACAAAATAGATGAAGTGCGACACTTGAAGGTTTTCCCACATTCTTCCAATTTTTAACCTGTCTCTCCAGTGTGTTTGCTTGCATTTAAAACAGGTTCTAAGCGAGAATGAAGGCTTCCCCTCAGTCCTTGTATGCAGAGCTACCGTCCAGTGTGTGTTCTCACATGTACTTGTAGAGACGTGACATACTTGAAGGCTTTCCCACAGTGCTGACATTCATTCCCTGTCTTGCCAGTGTGTGTCCTCATGTGTGCTCCCCAGTTATTGGAATACTTGTAAACTTTCCCACATTCTTGACATTCATAGGGTCTCTCTCCACTGTGCGTCCTCCCATGCACTCGAAGGTTTGCACGATGTCTGAAGGCCTTCCCACACTGCTGACATTCATAGGGTCTCTCCCCAGTGTGCATCCTCAGATGTCCTCGAAGGCAGGAGAGGGAGCTCAAGGTTTTCCCGCAGTGCTGACACTCATAGGGTCTCTCCCCAGTATGCGTTCTCACATGTGCTTGCAAAGAGCAGGGAAGACCAAAAGCTTTCTCACAGTGCTGACACTTGTGGGGTCTCTCCCCAGTGTGTGTTCTCCTATGTACTTGCAAGGAGGAGGAACAAATGAAAGCTTTCCCACAGTGCTGACACACATAGGGTCTCTCTCCAGTGTGCATCCTCACATGTCTTCGAAGGGAGGACAGGAAGCAGAAGGCTTTCCCACAGTGCTGACATTCATGGGGTCTCTCACCAGTGTGTGTTCTCACATGTACTCGCAGGGAGGACGAACGACTGAAAGCTTTCCCACACAGCTGACACTCATAGGGTCTCTCCCCAGTGTGTGTTCTAATATGTACTTGAAGGGAGGCCACGTGACTGAAGGCTTTCCCACAAGTCCAGCATTCAGTGGGTTTCCCTCCAAAGTGCCTTCGCATATGTGGAAGAAAGTATGAGAAGCGACTGAAGGCCTCCCCACATTCTTTACATTCGTAGTGTTTGTCTCTAGCATGAGTTCTCACATGTCGTAATAGGTAGGAGTCATACATAAAGGATTTCCCACAAACTGTACACGCATGGGTTTTCTCTCCACAGTGACCTCTGTCATGTTCCTGTAAGGATGAGGCGCAAGTGTAAACTTGTCCACATTTCTTACACTCAAAAGATTTTTTTCTATGGAGCCTCTTCACGGGTCTCTTAGATGCTCTCCCAGTATCCTGACACATTTTACAGGGTTTATCTACACTGTCTGTTTCCACATGAGTGCTTAGGCACGAGACACAACTGCAGGCCCGCCCACATTCCTCACATGGATAAGATTTGTGTCCAGTGTGAGGTCTTTGCTGATTCTTTAGGAGAGAACAATCCCTGAGGGCTTCTCCACACTTCGTGCATTCACCGGGTTTAACTCCAGTCGGATATGTCTCAGGCACAGGAAGGTCTGTAATCTGGTTCAGGGTTTCTCCACAGCGATCACCTCCATTACTTCCACGGAGACTCTGCACCAAATGGCTCCTGTTCAAAATATGAAGCATACTGTGAGGGACTGATGATTGTAAGTGATTTCTTTACTCATCACTTACTGACAGTTATTAATGATAATTTTGACTATGTATTTGTCATTTTCAATGAAAAGGAATGTCTTTGGCCCTGTCTGGTTCGGTACAAAGGGGAAAAGCTGAATGCTCTGCCTGAGGCCTCAAATATAGCCATAACTTTCAGTCTTTATTATGTACAGTGTCATCTGATAAATGCAACTGAATTATGTTTTAGACACTCAATTTCTACATCACATTTATATGAAAATATCTTCTGAAAATTGTCTCAGGACACAAATGCTTAGCCACGATTTTACTTTTTCTTTAATTTAAGTGAGTCTAACCCTCTGCTGAGACCCCTTCCTCCTGTGGGAATGCCACTCACCTCACAGGCCTCTCCTGGGCTGGGTGATCTCCAATGTTCTGAAATGTCCAGTTTTTGCCAAAAACAGACCGGCACTCACATCTTATGAACCTTACTATTTTCTCTTCGCTGGCTGTTTTATTCTCCAATATACCCTGCTGAAGTCTCAATCCACTGGTTTTAACTTGAGGGCAACAATCTACAACAATTGGTGCCATAGTTTAATTTCTTGGGAAAGAAATGGTTGGATAAAGGAAAGAAAACAGACGATATGTGGATTTATTTTCATACACTGATCCAAAGATGTAAACCAATTTTATGAGGAAGAACGGACATGCGAGTAAAGAAAAATTCTCAGGAGCTCAGCTACCTGGCACTTTGGCAAAGAGCAAGGGAAATGAGCCAAAATGGCAGTCTGTTCACTAAGAAATACTGCAAAACACATGGAGAGTGACATTGAGATAAGAATGATCAGAAAAGCAAAATAGGAAGGAACTGCTCAAATGCACATCCCCAGATGCTCCTTGTATAACAAGAGATGCAGAAGGTCTTCCCCAGGCGGCCAGGAGGGACAAAAAGTCAGCAGGGAAGCCAGGGAAGTGATACGTGACCCTTCTCACACAGTGGCTGAGTCCCATTTCTAAGGGACGTGTCCAAACGTCAGTCCTTCCTCCAGAGCCTGCTCCTCCCGAGGGTGCTTGCTCTCCATGAGAGCAGTCTCTCCCCAGTGTGCATTCTCTCCTGTTCCTGGAGGGATGAGGGAAAACAGAAAGCTTCCCACACTCAGGACATTCACCGGGTTTCACTCCACTGTGCGCTTTTGTGTGTCTTCTAAAGTTACTGGGGCAACCCAAGGTTTTCCATCACTTACAGAAATAAGGTTTCTTTCTAGTGGGTGCTGACATAGAGGCCCCAGATGGATCCTCTCTCCACTGCCCCAGCTGCCATGGCAGACGGATGGTGAGGGCAGCTGGTGACAGCTCACAGGGAAGAGCTCACCATGAAGGATGATGCAGGGGAACAAACAGTCCATGAGCCGGGCCCATACTCTGCTCTTCAAGGCCAGTGAGGATGCATAAGCATGGGGTGAACTGTAGCAAGATTACCATGTCACCTGGGTATTAACCAGAGCGTAACACTCAGGGGTGGAAACCATAAAGCTGCCCCAAAGTGACACTGGAGATGATATTCATGCTTATAAAATTCGGACATCTTAGACTTTTGTTCAAGTAACAAAAAGTCCATTTAATACATGAAATGTTGTTTTTGTGGAAAAGCTATGTGACTCTAGGTGGTTCTATGAAGGCTTGGACTGTGTCTCTCTTTTTTCAAACGTGTTCCCCTTTCATGGCCCCAATAAGAAAGAACAAGTGTAAGAAACACCTGTTCCCTCACAGACTAAGAAGGCGTGAAGCCGTCCTCACCCACGGAGGCCAGGTTCCTGCAGGTCTCCAGCATCACGTCTCTGTAGAGCTTCCTCTGAGCACCATCCAGCAGAGCCCACTCCTCCGGGGTGAAGTTCACAGCCACGTCCTCAAAGACCAGCGAGTCCTGAAACAGCCCACACATTCTACTTCAGCCAGGCCCCGTCTGCACCAAGGGGTGTGGGAGGGTGACAGCCGGGGACCTGGACTCAACTCCTAGGACCCCTGAGCTCTCACTCTCATTGGAAATGACAATAAAAATGCAAGTGGCACGCAGTACACTCAGTGATGGTAAGTGCTTGTAAAGCTGCAGCAAAGTGCAACCACAACAACTGACACAGACTCATACATGCACGAATTTAAGAATGATTTTTTCTGAGATGGAGTAGACTCTGATATAAAGTAAAGAGTGAAAAACGAAATCATCTTTCAGATACTACGGAAATGGATATGTGGCTTGATCAAAAGTTATGTCCTTGTCGGCTCCAAGAACTGGAATGAGAACGTCAGGATGTTCTGAACCCTGGGACCTGCAGTGCGACTTGATCTGAACACTCTCTCCCTGGAGGCAACAGTGTCGAGGGGCCTGGACTCCTCCCTAAATGGCAACGGAGGCAGAGACACGACCCCTCCCAGGATGAGGTGGACACTGTGGGCAGAGGTGTGAGCCAGGCCCTGGGACACCTGCTGGATAAGAGGAGAGACTGTTTCCTGAAGACTCTGGGAAGCTGGAAAACCTCTCAAATAACTAATCAAGTCCCCAGAATTCAAGAAAAATGGTCACACAAACAACAGTCATTGAAGATGTGAAAGCAATACAGGCAAATGGGACTTTAACCAAGAGAAAAAATACCTAAATGACTTTAGAATGCTCTGTGATGACACCACACACGGCATAAAGAGCACTATGAAATCTAAAGATAAAACTCCCAGCTGCATCAGCTGCAGAGAAGGTCAGGCCACCTCACTTAGCACAGCAGCTGGGGTTTGCCAACCACACGCCTGTAGGAGGCTCGTGTTCTCACCGTGCTTAAAGAACTCAGATCACAACAATAAAAAAGAGACAATATAAAGAGAAACGCTATAATTAAATAATGGGCAAGAAATGTGAGCAGACCCGTCTCCAAAGAAGAAATAAGAATGGCCAAGAAGACATGAGCAGAGGCTGGCCCTCGGCCAGCAGGGAAATGCAAATCAAGGCTACAAGCAGAGCCCTGTTCATTCACTGCAGAAATGGAGCAAGTGCTGGCGGGACCTGAGCAAGGGGGAAGCTCATCCATCGTTCACGGGCATGTAAACAGTGCAGCCACTTTGGAAGACAGTCTGGCGGGTCCCAAAAATGATGAACACAGAATTCGAATATAACAGCCGCCACTCTCCCTGCACCTCCATCTCTTCACCAACCCGGAAGCTCTGCAAACCCCACACTATTGGGACTTTTACAGAGGCTTCATCACGTATACATGATCGATCATTAAACTCAGTTTCAGGCGTTCTGCCCTCTCAAGACAGTGGGGACAGGGCTAAAAATCCCAAGCTTCTAGTCATGGCTTCATCTTTCCAGTGACAAATCCTCCTCCAGGAGCCCAGCCAGAGTCACCTCATGAGAACAAAGGATGCTCCTATCACCCAGGAAATTCCAAGGGTGTCAGGCGCTGAGGGCTGACAACAATGCATGTTTTCTATTATCTCACAAGCCTTTCAACACAACTGGCTCTAAAGGGAATGAATGGCACCCGGACTTGGAGACGAGGAAAGAACGTCCTTTAAAGAGTAAAGTGATTCAAAATCCTTCATGACTGTTTCCTAGTAGGGAGGGGGCTTTCTATGAAACACTATTCTTGGGATGTCTCTCAGGTAAGAAATGCTGTAAGCTGACAGTTCATGGAGAGATGTGGTGTATGAAATTATTTTCACAAACCTGCCTCATAACAGGTGAACATGTGTGTGTGTGTGTGTACTTTATGAAGGCTGCTGAGCTCTCAAAATGGACAAGTATGAGTAATAATCAGCGTTAACTTATAAAACCTTATTCTAGTGTATGTGATGAATTCTAAAGGTGTATGAAGCCCTTTTCAAACTCTCGTCCCAATGGAGCGAAATATTGAGCGAATGATTATTCCAACACACGACCCATAATAATGTACTCTCATCCTAAATCAAGGCTTCATCTTGTCTTTCTCTTTATTCCTATAGCAGAAAATGCCTCAGCGAAATTTAAATACCAGTACTGGAACTTTACAGAAAACCTGCTTTTTAGTTACTTTTTATTTTTCAAAGGTGACCACCTCCACCTTAGTAAACATTTATGTGTTTACACGTGTCTCTTGGTGGGGACAAGATGTGTGGTCATAAGCTCCCTCACTCGCATGTGGAGGAGGAGAATATAAAAACAAACCCGCCCAATGCACTTGAGGAAAGTGCTGGTTCCTACTGGAAACATGGCTCTCTGCTGCACACACCACAATGGCAGGAAAACATGCTTTAATTTGTCACCTTAATATTGGGGGAGAGAATGAGTTTAAGAAACTCGTTTTAAAATACTTTATACAAATAAAGAAAAAACAAAATAAATTCCTCTTAATCTTCTATTCTATCTTTTTAGTTGCTCAGGTTTGATAACTAAGGTCTTGTAAATGGTTTAACATAAAACCACATTGAAAGTCTTGCATCTTTTCAGTGTTTTCAAGTATCTCTTGCAGAGGTCAACACAAGACATGATGGGGGATTGACCCTGGAGATAAATCCGGGCCTCTGGAGGCTGCCTGCCCTATCACTACGCTTGGAATGTGGGTTCCGCTTGCCTTCCCAACTCCCAGAAGCTGCCCCAAGGCCACAGCCTTGAGAGAGTCAGTGTTGAGACCATCTGGACTGTGGACGGGATTGAACCTGGTTAAGGCCCCTAGAGAAACTTTTCAGATTTGGCGGGTGGGAGCAGAAACTACTCATCTTTGGGCTGCATAAGACAAGCCTCGTAAGTTTCCATGCTCATTAAAACTGCCACCTAAAATCTGGAGTGGCCTGGCCCTTTCTTAGGTCTTTGCCTGCCCTGTACGTATGGGGCCAATTTCAGTTTCCATCTTGGAAGCTCCTGAGGGAGGGACCCAGCAATAAGCAAATGTGTTCCTCACCATGAGCTCTCTGTAATGACAGACAGAGAAACCTCTCCAGTGCTGAAATGCAGTACAGGCTAGTTTTTAAATCATTAATTGAGAAAACTAATGGTGTCCTTTTCCTGAGAAGAAAACGCTGTAACAAAAGAAAAACTTTCCCTTTATTCATAGCATAATGGTTGTGCACGTCACACTCGAAAATAATATGAAGATAATCATAGAATCAGATGTTTGTTTCCAGAATTCAAAGTCATAAAAAAAAAATCAAATGTATTTTGAATCAATAGAAACAAGCAGTTGAAGAGTACATTTTTAAGATAGACTTTGTTAACATAGAATTTTTAAGCTAATTGCTATTACAACTAATTTTATTTCATTCCTAAAATACATATAATGTGGGATGAAAAATGACTTACTGGAAATCTGTCAAAGTGTTACTAGGTGACACCAGAGTGGAGCGCAGCAAATGCAGAGACCTCACACGTCCACAGAAAGGAGAGCGTGATGGCAGCTCTCTCAACTGCTCACGAGTTTTAAGGAAACTCCATTAAATGGTCAACCAGGTTTGTCTTGGGTTTGTTTCTGTTTTGTTTGAACTTAAGAAAAGCTACTTCTAAAAACGGGAATGTAAAACAAATTCCTAAGAAAATCTGACATTTTTTGTAAACAAGGTGTGGGATTTTCCCTGACAGACATTAAAACTTGTTAAACTGTAGTGATTAGGACAGGATGGCATCACCAGGGGGAGGGACAGGGACACCAATGGAGAAAACGGACCCCCTGAAACAGGCCCCCAAGGTGGGCACGTGGACCTGCCCCAGAGCAGCGCTGCCGGGCAAGAGTGGGATGGAGGCTCTGTGATACGTGGGGCAGGGACAACTGGCATCTACAGAGGAATAAGGGACCGGTGTCCTCATCAGCCTCACGGACAATGACCAGCTCACTGCAGATCTAACTGTGAGACACGACAGCAGAACACTTGGAGAAGCCACAGGCAAACGTGTTTATGACTTGACAGCTGGGAGAGTTTTCCTATTCAAGAGAAAAGAGTCAGCTACAGAGGAAGAGAGCGGGAAATTCAAGTCTATTAAACTAGGACGTGCCCATCGAAATGCAGATGAGAGAAACAATAAACCATGATCTGGGAGAAAATATCTGCAATACCCAGACATGAAAAAGGATGACTGTCCAGACCATGTAAAGAAAACATGAGAAAGCAGTAAACACACAAATGAATTAAAGATGAGAAAATAACTGAAAACTATCTGACAGACGATGAAGTTAACAAACCACGTTCGTTTCGCCCATTGCACGAAAAGCCAATCACAAGAGGAGTTTGCGGCAGACAAAGGGTTTATTCACAAGGAGGCCAAGAAAGAAGGGAGAACAAATCTCAAGTCTGCCCCCCAAAAATGGGGACTAAGGATATTTATGGAGGGGTGGGGTGGTCTGAAGTGTGGAGACAGGCGATGGGAGGTAAGGAGAAGGCAGGTAATTGACGATCTGCGCAAACGTAGGGAAGCCTCACGGCCCCTCATAGGACGCACGGTCACCAAATGGTGGCCTTAACATGACCTGAGGGTGTAGTGTTTGGCTCCCTGATTTCAGGAGTTCATGTATCGGACACCTGTGCAGCCTCAACCGGTCGTTTGCTGGTCTCCACCGGCCTTAGCCAGACAGGGGCCGAGCCTTAGTTCCTGCAAAATAACTCTGGCTTCTGCTACCATGGTGACCCAGGTGTCAGGGAGATGTTATCTGGGAAGAAGCTAGTGGGAGTCCAATAATAAATTTCCTCAGCAGCACCATGAACCATAGACATGCAAACAACTAAACGCTATAATCACTGATAGAAAAAAAAAAGACTAGTCACTAGCTACATAATCATTAAGGGCTAACTGTCCGATGCGTTTAGAACGCCACATGAGAAATGCTCAACCCCAATGGGAACCAGTACAATATGGCATCAAAAGGAGATCCCATTCCACACACTCAAGATGGACCAACGTGGGTTAACTGCAAGTGCAGGAAATGAGGTGAAATAAACACACGTGTGACAGTAAGACACTAGATCCAAACACTCCTCCATCAGCATTTCCTAGTGAATTTGAACTTACCCATAATCCACACCCCTGACATTCTTCTCCAACACGAAAAACATTTATGATCCATTTGCACTTGGAGATAAAAACAAGAATGCCTGCAGCGGCTCTGCCAACAAAAGGGAAACATAAAAGAGAGGCAACCCAGGCCCTCTAGAACTGGAATGGATGAGAGAACAGAGTGCCTCGAGCCTCAGCCACCAGCACGTATGACACAGACTGCGGCTGAGGAAGCACAGAGAGGCCCTCCGTGTGACATGGATGCTGTGTTCCTGGTGACATTCACTCCCTGCAAATTCAGCAGAGGCGGAACCACACAGAACCCTGCTTGGTGACTGAGAACACATGTAAAGCGACAAAGAGAAACACAAAGAAGCAGGACGGTGGTCACCCGGGGTTGGGGGGGGTGGGGGGGGCAGCACGCTGGGAGCAGATTCCGTCAAGGAAACCACAGGAAGAGCAGCACCTGCTCCCACAGGGAAGGTCCAACCTGGTCCTGAGCTGGGGCCGGGCTCCCCCGCGGGGAGGTACCCAGAGTGGCCCCTCCCAGGGAAGGAGTGAGGGGGCACCGAGGAACCAGGGCAGTTAAATCTAGAGCCGCACTCAGCCCGGCTCCCTCCTCAGGGCGGACGCGCCCCTCCTCCCGGGCCTCCTTCTCAGCAAAGAGGAGCCGCTCCGAGCTCCCGCTCCGCCCCGTATAGACGCTCCTTTCACAGACCCTCTCACCAGCAGGGACCCCCGGGAGCCCGCCCCACGTGTGACCTTCACAGACTCACTCAGCGCGCGGCACACTCAGCTCCACCGACCCCCAGGAAGCAGCCCCACGGCTCGTCCCCACCGGCGAACAGAACCAACGCGTGTCGGCCACGCGGCTTCAGCCTCTCCTCCGCAGACGCCGCCCTGGGCCGCCCGCAGCCCGGGCCCGCAGACGGCCCCTCCGAGGACGGGCTGCGCTCGGGACCTGCCATCAGCACCACACCCGGGCCTCCTGCTCCGTCCACTCCAGACAAACGCCGCCCAGCTCCTGCGGGTCCTCCGGCCACAGCGCCCCCTCCCGCGGAGCCCCTGCCCCGGGCGCGTCCCTCCTCCCGCCCCTGCGGTCCCTCTCCGGCAGGAAAGTGTGCTCACTGAGCTCGGATGCTTCGTCTCCACCGCCTGACCCCTGCGCACCATCGCCCCCTCCTTCCCAGACGCTCTCGGCCTCCGCGCGCCCCGCAGGCCCGACCCCCGCCCGTCGGAAGGAGCACTGAGATGCGGACGGGCCTGGACCCGAGCCCGCGCTGCGCGACCACGGGGCGGGGGTCCTGAGACCCGCCCGCCTGCTCCCCTCCTGCCCGGCAGAGAAAAGCCCTTTTCCGGTGAGTTCCGGGCTGCGGCATCTGAGACCCGCCCTCGGCCCCGTCCCACCGTCTCCGGCCCCCAGTCCGGACGGAACCCCACGATCCTCGGCCCTGACTGCGCAGCTGGGGTCCACCCATCCCCCTCTGACAAGGGGCTGGGATAAGATGTCAGGACCCACCCCACGACCAGGGCGGTGATAAATAAGTGGGGAGCAGTAGGCTATACTGGCGGACACGAGCAAGCCACTTGTAAAACTAATTCGGCCTCACCTTGTTTCCCAAAGCGCCTGCCGTGCCCACGGGGCACGCCCTGTATTTCTGCCCTCACCATCTTCTCCGTCCAGAGACGAGAACAATGCCCTTGAAGATGAAGGAAGATGTAACCTCCCCCTCGGATAAGCGTCTCTCCCCAGGCCAGGAACTACTTGCTGCGCCCACCCTGCGACCCCCCAGCTGGAGACCACAGACCTGCTCCCTGCTGTGCGATCGCTCTGCCGGCTGGGCGACCTGGTGACCGTTATAAAAGGGACATTCCGATCATCTGTGACACCTGCTCTCTGACGTATATGACCACTGTGCACACTCACTTCTTTGGTGTCCGTCCTTCGTGGGGACGCAGGGCCCCAGACCGGTCCTCAGATCTGGGTGACAAACTCACCCCAGCTTTGATCTATGGATCCCTTACGGATTGTTTGCGCCCACAGTGGAGACTCAGGTGGGACCAGGACCCCCACGCGGGGCTGGGACAAGACGCCAGGACGCAACCCGCACCCAAGTTTGGGTACTTGAGCGCGACCCCGGGGGACGCAGGGAGACCCGGGCCCGTGGCCGCTTCCAGCCAGTTCCCGCCGGTTCCAACCAGCCCCTCCCGGTCTCCGCCCGGCCCGCGCACTCACCATCACCGCCCGCTCCGGACCCTCCAGGCGTCCTCCTCGCGGCCCCGCGGCGCCGGCAAGTGAGAGCGACGGAGACGGGACTTCTCGGGCCGCGCGGGGCCGGTGCGCACGGAGATGCGCGGGGACCACAGCGACTTCCAAGAGGATGCAAGCGCCCCCGCCCGCGTCTCTTATGGACGCAGCTGCAGGCTCCTGTGTGGTGATTGGATGGTATCTTCGTCACTCATCCTGGCACGCACTCTGAATGGACAGAGTTCTAGCACGCACCGGGTCCTGAATGGACAGATGTCCAAGACCCGCCCCTGTTCCTTGATGCGGCGCTCCCCTATGGTCCCGCCCCCGTCCTCCCTGATTGGACAGCGTTACAATCCAGAGCGTGCCTGACAGGCGCTGGCGCTGGTCACGTGGCAGGGCTGGGCGGAAGCGTGGGCCTTCGGCCTCAGCAGCTTCCTGCCCGGCTTCCTCCCCGGACTGGGACCGCCCGCTGGGGTCGTGGGCTCCCAGCAGAAGCAGCTGCCGGCTGGCGGACCTGGCGTCATCCTGCAGCGCGTCCTTATGTTGGACCGGGAAGTCCTGACTCAGTTTCCCTGGAGTGCCCCCATCTGGAGCTGGAACAGGGGGCCTGGTGAGCTCCGGGGTCAGACGCCTGTCAGGGGGAGGAGTCACCGTGGATCGGTGCCCTTTAAAAACAGACACGCAACAGTGATGTCACCACATACGAGCCTGGGTCGTGCTCGGATTGCCTGTGTGACCGCTGACGCTGGGACACCCGCCCCCTACCTGCTACTGAGCAACGGGCTCGCTCTGCTCTCCGCGATCTGAGCCAATTAATCCCAATGAGTTAGATGGAGAAAGGAAGTTTAGTTAGATTAGATTAGATTAGGGGGCTATTCGGAAGACGGGTCACTAAGTCTCAAAGACTCCTCTTCAAGGATTACGGAATCTCGAGGCAGCTGTGTAGGGAAAGGGGGCGGTGAGGAGGGGCTCAGGGATGTGGGCTCCAGGCGAGACAGGCTCCAGGCATCACGTTTGATGCGAGCTCAGTGAGCCCAGGAGTCAGGGAGATTTCTGGGACTCTCAAGGTCTGGTGTCATGCTCTTTTACCCAGAGAGTACCATGGGGACAGGCCCCTGGGCAGGGAAGAGCTGCAATGGGTTGAGGATAGGGGTAAATTTATAAGGCACAGGCAAGTGCGTTGTTTTTTAAGAGACAAAGGAAAGATCATGTTTAAAAAGCTGTTAAAATGGTGTCAGTGCAGGTGGGGTCTGGTTATCGTGTGGTCGTATAACGTTAGATATGAATGAGGTCAGGACGCCCTATACTTCCCAGAGGCTCGTTTCAATTGGCATGTGGGCCAGGATGCCTTGGGCTTCTCTCCCTGGGGAGCCTTGATCCACATCACAAAATCCCCTTGAATCCATTAGGCCCTGAAATCCTTTGGGGACATGGAGAGTGGTCAGTCTTCTGTGACTACTTCCAGCTGTACCAGGTCGCAGAGCTGTCCCTAAATGGGGCCACAGGGGTTCAGGCAGGAAGTTCAGTGGACCGGAAGGTTGTGCCCATGGAGTCTAAGGCAGACAAGGTATGCAGATGCTCTCAGAGAATCATTTGATGAGAAGTGCTTCAGGAGGCGAAATTTTGTTGACATGTGCAAGACAAACAATGAAATAGAAAACAAATTATGATAAGAAATACAAGCAGTATGATCAACCCAGTGAATAAGGCTTTGATAGTAGTCCAGGGGCCTGGACCTGACCAGGAGTCCAACCAATCGTTTGGGGATGGGGTGGGGTCGGGCATGGATTTAATTTGGTGGCTCATCTCAGATAGGAAGCCAGAGATATTTTGATGGTAGTCGGGGATATAGACAACATTAGATTTTTATAATGGCACAAGTGCCCCCCTGTGGTGCTGTCAAGACCTCCAGTGCCATTCGGTTTTGCAGGACCCCCTTATGCATTTGGGATACTTCTAAATCAAGCAGCAAAGGGCTATGTTGTGTATCATTCAATGCCTTCATGGTAAATTTGTTTAGGGCTTCTATGTGCCAGATGACACTTTCGATTCCTAATTGGGGAGGGAAAATTGAGGCAAGGTGGTCATCCCAGTGGAAGCCGGAGCGGGTCCAGCGCTGTTGCAGGGTGGGTAGGCCAGCAGGGGGATATAGTAAATGGAGTTCTACCTTGCATCCAGATGAAGCCTAGGGTGCATCGTCCAGTCCATCCAGGTGGCAGCCAAGGCCATAAGTTGGAGCTACATAACCACTGACTGCCATTAGGGGCTAGCCAATGTGTGCTGGGCCATCTGTCACAGTCAGTCCCAGATCAATCAGTATTTTTTAAGGCTATGAAATGAGAACACACATAACGGGGCATTTGTCCCATAGGTCGGGTGCTATTACACAGAGTATCACAAGTGTGATTGGTTTGTTCCCAACATAGAGTGGCCTTTTGACTGAGGTGACCACTAGTAGGTGTGAGCCAAGTATATTCATCCCAAGTTTGCTATAGTCCATCCTGTGTATCAATGGGTGGGGGCTTTACCTTAGGAATTCGTCTATGATCCCCCTGGGACCAGGCGAGTCTAGTTAGTATGTGGGCAATAGAGTTGAAGGAAAAGGTTTGATTGTGGCCAGGGAACTCCCAGGTGACAGAGACGGATGGCCACAAGGAGACAATATGATTAGTAACAGATGAATCTTGTAGAAAAGAAGAGCTAGAAATACCTGGTGTAGTAAAGGGAAGCATTGCACGCCAGTCAGTGCCCTGGAGGGGAGTGACCCACCAGGGGAGCCCGGAAGCCCTAGTCAGAGGCAAGGGTCTGCAAACCCAACACGTGGTTTTGTTATGGAGCTCAGCATAATGTTGAGCCCATTTTTAAAAAGAATTGTCTGTCATTACAAAAGGAGATAAGAGGTGACAAATAAAAATGGCAAGCAATAGGATATATTGGAGAATATGAGGAAGCCATTTGGTGTAAACCTAATTCAGCCTGACCTTGTCTTTCCAAAAGGCCCTGACCGATGCCGTTGAGCATGCATTGTATATCTGCTTTAGATATTCCCTATGGCAAGAGCAAAGGCCCTTGAGATAAAGTGCAACTTCCCTCCCCCTCCCAACGTTGGCGTCTCATTAAGGATTAAGCATCTTTCCTTAGGCTAGGAACTGATTGCTGTGCTCACCTGTGACCACCCAGCTCCAAACAACAGACTTGCCTCCTGCTACGCCCACTGAGACAGCAGACGCACTACCTGCTGTGTCCATCAAGTGCTGTGCTGACAGGGCAATCTTGTGACTATTGTGGGAGGGACATTTCAATCATATGTGAAACACCCTGTTTGGGGGGATATAACCACTCTGTGCATCCCACTTCTTCAGTGCCCTTTCTTCCTTTGGGAAGAAAGGCCCCGGGCCATGGTCCTCAGAGTTCAGCTCAGAATAAACTCACCCAAATTTTCATTTACAGATTGGTTATGGATTATTTTCATCAACAGAGGAAAATAATCAAGATAGGGCTCATTTTGTTCTAAAAAGTAGTTCTAAATCACCGGTTTGTTCACAAGAGTAGTCCGGTTCAACAGCAGGATCTGGATCAGCTTTGTCCTATAAAGAAGTCATATTGGGAAACATGAGTCCAAGAAGTATGGTCTTTTAACTTGACAGCTGTGAGGGTCCTTAGAATGACTTGAGGGGCCCGCCGGCAGACGAGGGGTTGAGTTCGTGCTCTCTGCTTTGACGGCTCAGGGTTTCGCCAGTTCTGATCCTGGGTGTGCACATGGCACTGCTCGTCATGCCATGCTGAGGTGGCGTCCCACATGCCACAACTAGAAGGACCCACAAGTAAATATATACAACTATGTGCCAGGGGACTTGGGGGAGAGAAAGGAAAAGTAAAATTGTAAAAAACATAATGTTAAAAAAAATGAACGACTTGATAAGGTCCTTTCCGTTTTGGGTTCAGCCCATCAGCATGTGTTTTCCAATCCTTTAAATACACCATGTCTCTAATACCGGCTCAACACAAGGTTGACATGAAGGAAGCCATATTGTAGAAAAGAAACCATATTGTAACTTTAACGGACCTCTGACTCACTAGCCCAGATGTGCTCTGTAGATTTGGTGGGCCCTCCCAGTGGCTTTAAGATAACTTTGTTCTTTTGAGCTCTCTGGGAATGTCATGACCTCTGGGCAGAGAGCCATGCTGATAGCCATCATCAATGACAACTGAAAGAGCAGGGTATAGGGCATTGCTCCACTCTCTGCTGCATATCCGGAGAAACAAAGGACTCTCAGGAACTGGGACCAGATGTCTGCCCCACCCAGGGCCCAGCCACCTCCCCCACCTGCAGACCAGCCCCGTATGTAACTCACCTGGAGTCTCTGTTCTGGGAGATGGTTCTTTTGGACATGAGTTGGCCATCTTCCCTCTTGCTAGCAAGCCGTAATGAAGTCCTCTCTGTCCTGCCACCTTGCCTCCTGACTATTGTCGTGTCTTGCGGTGAGCAGATGAGCCCACTTTGCTGGTAACATCTCCAGGATTTACCTGGCACGGTCTATCGGCAGACTGGTTCCGCCTTGGGTACATGATTAGCAACACACTCATTCAGTTCCTTTCGTATGAGGCCGGCCTCAGTGGAATATCGGGCCAGCTGGTGGTAATCAGAGTCCAATACTATGTCGGTGGATGGGAAGGATTTCCTAAGGACCTAACCCCAACCTGTTCTGAGGGGCCATTCTCGTCCGTGGGAGGCCAGTAGGTCAGAGTGTAATCCAAGTTTCCCAGGTTTCGAGACTTAATTTGGAGAGAGGTCGTTTAGAGTGTGGTTTGCCTTCTCCACTTTCCCAGAGGATTGTGGCTGCCAGGCCGAATGCAAAGAGTATTTAATTTGTAAAGCTGAAGAGACGTGGCGTGTTATTTGAGCTACAAAGAGGGACGTTGTCACTCTGTAAGGTCTGGGGGAAGGCAAAGTGTGGGATGATCTCCCTCAGAAGGGCCTTTGTTACTGCGATTGCCCGTTCACTTCGACAAGGAAAGGCCTCAGTCCAGCCTGTTTAGTTTCCCGGTCAGCGAAGTTATTCCCCTTGCTCTCAAGGGCTAAATCCTCCCGGTGTCCCCAGTAATGGACAGAGCCACTTCCTTTGGAAGAAGCACAGAGTTGGAAAGAGCCGAGACCTCTGCTCCGTGTTCGATAGGGGAGGTCTTTGCGTTGAGTA